GCTCCGCAGAACCCGCTTCATGGTCTGTGCGGCCCTGTATGCGGCGCCCTGAAGCGCAGCTGTCTCGGTAGCAGTGAGAGCGGATGCTCAGGTGAGGCTTCCAAGTCCTCTATTTGGAGCTCGAGAAGCTGGGCGCTCAGCAGAACACCGGCCAATAAGAAACCATAAGAATCGCTTGTTTGCAGCGTGGCCTCTGCTGTGCTTTACAAGAACAGATCGCCTTCGGTTGGAATGATGGAAAAGGCATGGTTACCCGTTATATCAGCAGAAAGACTTATAGGAGCAATTATCCTCTTATTTGTTCCATGATGATCCGATGTCTCCTGATCAGGCGGCGGTGGGAGGGGGGGTAGGGAGGTAGGGGAGGTCGGGGATGAGCCACCACTGTGGTGGCATCGCTTCTACTCCTGTTTGTAGGAGTGTGTCGATCTCGCGGGTGGTGGTGTAGTTGATCAATGTCGGCGGGCGTGCGTTGCAGGATTCGGCCGGCCGCGAGGCAGTCGAGCCGCCGCATCTTATCCAGGGAGGTACAACGCTCTAACGCCACCGGGCAGGCAAAAACGTCGTTCGAGCGAGCTCTGCGGTAGGTCCAGCATTAGCGAGGTATAGCGGTCTGCCTGGAGCAGAGCGGAAGCCATAGGTTTTGCGGGGTCGGTGAAAAATGCAGGACTCGGTATCAGACACCCTCGGGCGACCCGGGTGTCCATGTCGGTTCCTCGGTGTAGACCCATCATCTGCGCCATGGTTATTGCCCCGGCGGAATGGAAACCCATGCTCGGCGAAAGGTTACCGGCGAGGTCGTGATACAGACTCTCCATCATGATACACTCAATTCCCTCGATCGAGTTAGCGAGCTCATCGTTGCCGGTTACGAGACTAGCGTGCCTCGATAGCCCGAGACATAAGATTGCAGCAACTGGCGGCATTCCCAGGGGACGTCCCGGCCATTGTTCCCTGTAAGAATATCCCGAGAAGTAGGAGCTTCCGAGTGACAAGAACGGGGTGGGACCCGGGCGGCGGTATCCGTAGTATATCTCGCACTGATGCGGAACCAGAATACGGCATGCCTGATGCTTTGAGCACAAGAGACTCAGAGGACTCGGCCTGATTACGTAGAAGGTTATCAAGCTCGTGTTGACTGGGCCATGCTTCCGCGAGTCTCTGAGAGAGATTCCCGAGTTTGGTGCTGGCCGCCACTCGTCTATCAAACGCCCCATGTAATGGATTGTGGTTGGCGTGAGCGGCCTTGAGAACGGCACTGGAACTGGCTAGACCCTCTCTCCCTCTGACAGATGCCTGTCTGAGACGTCGGCCCAAAATCAAAATAACCCGATCCGCCAGAAACAGGTCAGGGGATCTGTTGGCAGTATTTCGGGTCGATCTTGCTCAACTAGCGTTTTGACCAATGCCTCCATTCGGCCCAGCCTGTCATGGAGTTCAATTTGGTTGCCGTTGACGTTAGGGATTGCAGACTGTGGAACATCAGGCAACTCCTGGCTCACACATGCCACCCCGCGGCGCTTACAGGGGTTCGCAGAGCAGATGGTATCCGCGGGGGCTGCAAACACGCACCGGACCTTTCGCCGTTTACACTCCCAGCAACTCCGGGTTCCTTTCCGGACCTTCTTCCTCGGCCGTTCGGCTTCATGTTCTGCCGAGAGGGAGTCGAGTGATTCATCGTGGGTATGAGAGGTTATTCCCGCCATCTGCGGCTCAGGGGCACATTTAATAGATAATGATGGCGGAAAGCCACAGATAAGTCCAGATGGATGTGGGTCGGCGGAAAAGGGGCTGCAGCGCGGTGGAAGCTTATCGCTGGAAATGAATTTGAGAATGGCGTGAGGGTGAGGGTTGGAAGGATTCCGCCGAGCCTCGGCGGACGAAAGTCACGAATCGCGTTTTAGTCAGCATCTAGCTCCAACTTGACAAGTGACATGCTGATAGATGTGTAGAAAGTTAGCGTCTGTCAAGAGACATGCCCTTGAGAACTTCAACAGAGCAACACCTCTACTCGAGGATCCTTCTTATTCTCTACGGCTTATCACGCCAAAACTCAGCCAGGAAGTCCTCGGCTTTGGTGAACTTATAGTCCGGCAACAGCTGATTCCACTCATCTGAAACACTCAAGGCGCCGGCCGAGATACCAAGCACTATCCCGGCCGTCATATACTCCGTGAACTCGGCGATTTGCTCGGGAGTGAAGGACGGATGGTCGGGCGTGGGGAGCCAAGTCGACTTCACCACCCCAGCCTTTAGGTCATCTACCTTCAGTCTCTCAACGTTGAATCTTCCGCCTGGTTATTTTGAGTTAGAATCTAGTTGACAATAAACAAGGTAGCCGCAATAAACTCACCGCGAACTCTCTCGCCCATTTTGATGACCTCCTCCATCGTCAGGTCGTCGCCCCTGATGCCCCCAACAACCGGCCACTCGCCTTCGTACTCGACGGCTTTGACTACAACATTGGCAATGTCCGTGACCGTGGTAAGGGTAATACAGAAGTCGCCGCTGTCCACCATGAGAAGTCGGCGATTCCCAAGGTCGAAAGGCGTCTGCATCGGGTGAATGTGCTTGGTCGATTTGTACGGGTGGGTGAGGTAGTTTGTGAACAGTCCGGGCATGAAGAGCGAGTACTCGAGGACCTATTATCGACAAGTCATCAGCAGTTTTGAACGGAGCTTGGTTCTCATTCTTGAGAAAACCTGCCTTTTTGTTCTTGTTTAGCTCCTTAAGGTACTCCCGGATCACACCTTTGCCATCGTTCCAGGGCATGTGGTCAAATTTGGACCTACGAGCTCCGACCCGAGTTAGCAAAGGTTGCAAGAGGTTGTGGTAAAAAAATACAACATACGAAGCCCATTCACTCGGCGCAAAGCGTTTCACACCAGCCCGAACCGCCGCGTCGATCAGGTCCTTCTGTGCCACACTTCCCGGATCCAAATGCGCCGTGATGAACGAGAGAACCGTATGGGCTCCCCTCATAATTTCGTCAAGCTGCTTTCCATCCTCGTAGTTGGTCTTTACCCATGCCACACCAGGTGCAAGCTTCTCTGCGGGAGCATCCTACATGCCAGTTCAAGCCGGTGATTCCCGTAGAGAACATGTAGGAAGAATCCGAACCTTTCGAGACAAGAGCAAAATTTCATGCTTCTTCGTTGCGGCGAGCGCGTCGATGATCTCTTGACCAAGGTCTGCAAAGATGGCATGTTAGTGCCCTTGACCGAGGTTGTTAACGGGGAAGCATCTCACTGCCAGAGCCGCCGGCAACAACAATCTTGACCATCTTGTCTGGATGCAAGGGAGACTAAATACGGAATGGTTATTCGAATTGATGATAGAGGGGTAGAGGGAAAACGTGCAGAATCAACGGCCCGCATCGTTACTTATTATACCCGAGCAAAGGGCGTTTTATGCATAATTTCGACCGAAACTTCGGCGGAACAAACGTACATGCCAATCCTTCGCCGGACTCCAAACCGGAGGCCGAGAGTCTACCATCTCGTTTCGACCGAAGCTCGGCGGAACGAGCAACTCAGGCCCCCCAACTCCGAATCAAGGAGTAAAAGATCACGTCAGCTTGATAAACTATGTTTAATCTTCAACTAAACGAAAGTGTTACTAGCGTAAGTTGCGGTCCAGTTCGCAATGCTCCCTCTTTGTCACTCTACTGATCCACTAGTCCAGGGCCCTCCTCTCCGTCCGTACACGGCCCCTATAAAAATCATCATGTCCTCTCTAGGTACCATTCGCCTCCTGCTGTCCCTTTGCCTTGCGTCGAACACCAGGCTGCCGGTATTGTCTTTGCCATCAACGACAATGGAGAGAACCAAAACTTTGCCCATAACCGCATTGCCGTCGTAGCTCATCTGGACCCAAAGTAGTGAAGTTCAGGATTCCTCCAGTTTACCCTATTGTTCGCCCACATTTGGACGCCACGTGCTCGTGAAAGGCGTCCCGCCCACACGACAAGGCGGCCGCCAACTGTTCCAGCTACACGATATGTCCGTGATCTGTGAGTAGGTACTTTGTATCTACCCTCGTAGCGGTTCACAAGACCGTAACTAAGTACCTCATGTCCGAACTGAATGCTACCGAGTTAACGAACAAAAGGAAAGGGCTCGCTCCGACCTTGAGAATACTCAATATTCCATCCACAAAAATGGGATGGTGTCATGGGGCGATGTGGTGAGTTGTTTTCGGATACGGCCGAAAGAACCCACCCAAGTCCGGACTGGTCCATCACACACCGACGTTCTGTGAAATGTCTCGAAAACTGTGTCACATTCCAGGCACCGCACCAATGGACACCAAGTAGACACCAACTCAGTGGACCACCACAACTCAGTACCCGAGACAAACACGCACATAGCAACCAAAAAAGACAACATCCAGTGGTACAACGGGTGGCAACCCTGCCCCCGCCCCAAAACAAGTCTGAATTTCATCGTCTGGCACTACGTCGTACCGGGCAACCCAACACAGCGCCACCGCCCTGCGCTGGCAGGCCCGCCGCGCGATGAGTAAGCTTCAACAAGAAAGTTGCACAAAAAGCCCTTGGTGTCTCTCTCCCCTCCATACTATACTCTCGACAATACCCCATAATCGCCCATCCCTGGCATGTGATTATTATGTATCTATGCACCCGAATCCCGCCTCTTCTGCTTGCTGCCCGACGGCCCCCAACGAAACCAAAGTTTGCCGTGGTGTCGTGACGTGAACCCCCTAGAACTCCATGCAAATGCTTCGCAACCCAAAGATAAGAGAAAGGCAATAGAACGCCGAAACTGCGCGCCGTAGAAAAACCAAGGCCAGAAGGCTATGCGAGAAAAAAAAAGGTGGCCGGTGATGCTGGTACCCTGGGGGTGATGTTGTCCCGTGGATGCAAAGACCTGCGATAGAATCGCCCAAGAAGTGTTGTGTTGATGTGGAACGCCGTTTTGCATATGAAGAAGTCCGCCAAGGACAAAGGAAACCGGTTGGTGGGGTAGTCAGCCTTACTGACAAGACGACCCGCGGTATCATGCGGCAAAGAGAGGGGAAAATCCAACTCTCGGGCACTTGGTCGAGACGAGACGCTCAGCTATTCTGCGTCTCGCTGCGCCAGATGCCCGCGCCGAGTGGCTTGCTGACGCCGAAGCCGACGGCGACGGCGATGCCGACGATGAGAATGATGATGAGAATCTTGACGGTGATGCGGTTGCGCTTGCTCATGCTTGCGAGGCAGTTGCAGCTGTGCTTGTTCCTCCTGGCCGCCTTGGCCTTCTTCTTCCAATGGTCTTGCCCAGGCCAGGCATGGCAATCCGTCCCCCCTTTGGTGCATTCGGCCGACTTCCTGCTGGAGTCTTGTGTGATGACGTGCATCGCCTCGATATCGGTGTCGAAGGGATTCGCGCGTGCTGTGGCCGGGGTTGATAGATCGGACGGCCGCGGGTACGCCGAGTCCTTTTCTTCCAGTGTAGGGAATGGTTGGAGCGTTTCTTGCGAGGGTTTGTGTTGGAGGGTGGTCGTGGTGGTCTCGATGGTCAGGCCCGGCTTGTTAGCCGGGTCAAGGGCGTCGCCTGAAGACATAGTGGCGAAATTGTGTGGTGTGATAATGTCGTCGGTAGGTAATTATATCATCAACAGATGACTCTATGTGCGATTTTCGTCTTGGTGCGAGATCGAATAATTTGAACTCGGTAATGCGTATTTAAAATACCAGAGGTTCTATCACAACAATTGAGGCTGGGAGTTGTTAGTCCTGTTCTGGGCAGCACAAAGTCGGACGGAACAATAGACAGGTCCGTTCACGTTGGGCAGGGACAAGGGCGTCCATGGCAGGAGGATGGGACGAACTGACCATCAATGGTAGCAAAACTTGTTGGCGGTGCGTCTCAAACAACGGAAGCGACTCGCGGACAACAGCTGCGTACAACGGGCGAAGAGAAACAGGCGGGTCCGTGACCCCTTCCCAGCAGGAGACGGGCGCACTAGATACGAAAGGAATGACGGGGAAATCGATTATCGGCGGGGGGTCGAGACGGTTCGGTACACCGCAAGCGCAAAGAGGTTATCGTGAACGATCGGCGCCTTCTGTATCGTTCCACCACGAAGAGGGAGCGGTGAGTCGAGGCGAGTTGGACCACGAAAGGGAGGGAGGGCCTGGCAGATGAATTGGCAAGAGAAATGGGAAATGGGAACACCACTGACCCTGGTACGTACCTGGAAATCAAGGTTGTGGGGACCCAGAGGCGCAGCCAATCCGGCCCACGATTCGGTTGGGAGCTGCATCAATTGTGGTCCACCTCCCACCCATGCTCGCCCCTGACCTGCAACCTTGTCGGCTAGCGTTGGCCCCACTTACTGTTCCTGGCCATAGAGCAGAACCGTGATTGGCTTCTTCCGAGCCTGCCCAGCTGCGCGAATGGGACTCTCCTTTTTGCACCGAAAACCAAAAGAGCCAAGGAAGATCGTCGGCGCATCAAAAGAGCCTAGCGCACGGCCACGGCTGCATCCACGGGTTTGAGCCCAAGACCTCACTCTCTCTGTCGCCAATCAAGCATAGGAAATCACGACGCGCCGATGATGCGGATATCAACAGGCTAGGCCGCGATGAGGGGCCACAGACGAGTACAACTACGTTGTCGGCCCGTTGTTCGTCGGAACCCAACACAGCAACACAGGCCAGACGGGCCCCTTCTCCGGTGGCCTCTTCGGCAATCATACCGAATGAATCGGCCTCTTCTTCCGCGGGCTCGTTTCGAATTGAATACGCGCATTTCAATAGCGGCCAGTCTTAACTCAGCCTCACAACGGACCGTACCTATCTCTGGACTTTCCCCCCCGGCGCCAGTTCCCAGGTTTCTCACCGGGTGAGCGGCTGCATCTCACCCTCCACGCCGCGTGGTTGCACATCCGGCGTGCTGGTGCACTTCTGCAGGTCCATTGAAGCGCACGCGATTGGAACGCTGAGGCGACTTCAGAGTTGTGGGCTCATCGGATCAATTCCCGGCCCCCCATACATACCCTGACCGTCACAGCACAGCACACATCAAAGGGGTACTGCGCTTGTTTATTTTTGTTCGACGCCAAAATCCCCGATTCTTTCGGTGTCGTGCGCCGAGCATGCTGATCGTCTGAGGTGCTGACTGCCAGCTTTTTCCTCGGCACCCCATAGCCTGGGCCCCTGTTCAACGTCCCCTCCCGACAACCAACGCTCCAACACAAATCGACAAGAAATGAACCGTCGCAAGCCAACCCGCCCGCCATAGCATAGTATTTATCGCCTCGCCTATTACCCTCGTATCATGGTTGTCGCGGCTTTTATCCGCCACTAATTACTATCAATCAACTTTTCTTCGAGCCTTCTTCCTCCCGAATCGCCACCATGCACGCGGCACGCTGCGCGCATCAATATTTGCGTCGTGTAAAAAGCCAGCTCGAACACCAAACCACGTTGCATCCCGCCGTCCGCACCATTGGCCTATTCGGGTTGGCTTCCTCGCCCTGCGGGGTCGTTTTCCTCAGAAGTCTCCTGTGTAGAACCCCTGCCAGCAATGGCGGGGAAAGGAGCGCAAAGCCCACCGAACCTGTCCCCTTTCGCAGCTCCGCTCGGCTGGGTTGCGCCGCCCTCAGCTGGGGCAATCCTGCACCGCACCAACTTGCGCCGGAGTGCATTCCGAAAAAGCCTGGCCTTCTGGGCGGAGTTGTCCAGCGCGTGTCCATCTAGGTATCTGGGCGCAGGACCTGCTTCCAATGTCTCAAGCATGTGCGCCGGGCGTTGCTCTGCCCCCTACCGCCGCTGCGTCCTCCACAGTTTGTTCTGCGCGATATTTCGTGTCTCAGACTGCCAAGTCCATCCATCGGCTGTTTCTTTGTCGGCGTTGGCCCTCTTCGGCTGGCGGTGTCAGGGGCTGAAGTCTCAATTCAGTGCTTGGCGAGGGAGGTGCTGTCAGGGGGGGTTCATTGGTGGATGACCCCACAACCCACAACCTCCCTTGCTAGGACTTTGTGAGAGACCCCTCTTCGTCGACTCGTTGAACATGATCAACTTGAAGACCCAAATAATGGTGCGAAGCGCCGCTCGTCCGGTCTGTTTCCCTATTTGAGGGGTGTTTGGCTGAGTACTGCCGCTATCATTGGGGCCGGATTGGTTAAGATTGTGCTTCGCCAACCAGCTGATCGATATGGCATTATCGAAGATCACGATGTTGTGCGCCGTTTCGGTCAATTGATAATTGTCTTGAGCCCCGCAAGGCAGATCAAAGGCGGGGTATTGTGTCACCGACAGAACACCGTGTGCGTCTTAATCTCCCATCCCCAACCGCCACGCCGGCATATGCTCCCCAAGATGTTCCACCCCGCAAGCCCCGGCATAACGGACGAACTGGTTCCATGGCACCGGCGCGCCATTACCAATACCTAGAGGGGTTCGGGGCCGAGGCGCTTCGGGGTGGCGCGCTAGCGGCGTGATACCAAAGGCGACTAACTCGGTATGTAGTTACTGTGAAGTAAGCAGTCAAACAACGTGAGAATGCAAGACATTATGAAGTCAGAAGCCCTGTTTTAGCGGGGAGGGATTCAGACTAGCAAGCCCACGAACAGCCCGGATGTTTCAGACCCCGCCTGTTCGGATTTATCAAACAACGGGGTTATCGGTTTTAGGGTGTTGGTGTGACGAGGATCATCCGAAAGATGGCGGGAGAGTTGTGATATCGCACCGTCATGCGGGTTGAACCGACTCAGTTGAGGAGTCGAGGGAGGCAGCTCTAGATCTGCGCTGTAGGTGAGTGACGACATGGTAATTGCCTCGCATTGGGCTGAATGCAAGAGATGTCACTGCGGTGGATCCACAGGGGTGCATAGTAAGAGAATGCGTCTTAGACGGGTTGCGAGTCCTGGAAGTCTAGGTGGCGATCTGTGAATGTCTTCATGGTCGCATCTGGCTTGGGGTCGAACCGCAATGTTTTGGAGCATGACGGCAGCCATCGCACTATCGACAAGAGTTTCAATTAGGTAGTTAAGATATTTCAGCACGATCAAGCAGCTTACCCCTCAGGGACCTGGTGACCTCAACTAGACTAACTGATTGTTCAGATTGCTGCCTGTTCCCATGTACACTTGATGCCATTTGATGCAGTAAATTCCCAATTGCTTGACACAGATTGGGGCCCACCTTGTAAGCCGCCTTCCATCTGATGGCGGTAGGTACCGTAATGTTGAATTCGGAGCAGGGAACGGAGTTAAGGAAGCTCGTGATGTTTTCTGGACTCAGAATGAGAAGGGAAACCGTTCAGACCGAGAAGGAACATTGTAAACTGGACCAGGCCTGCTTGTGGCATCTTCGAGCTATTCCCGCCTTTGTTTGCTTTCCAGATCGAGCTACTAGGAGTTTAATATCTATTCGGCTGGGATTAGTTCAACCGGTTGTATGTAGGAAAGAACAATTAGCTGTTGCCACTGCCTGGTCGTCACACTGAAACAAGATATTTCGAACTCTGCTGTGGTTTTACATCGAGGAAGCAGGATGGTTGGTTGGAACGTTGGTTCGTTTCAAGAGATGGTATGTTGTATTGAGTCCCAAGTTCTCTTCCTGACTCGGGGACGACGTGCCAGGTTTTGTGTTGTTGCTACATCTGCCTGGTGACAATGAAAGCGTTGAATAACCAGTACAACGTAGAGACAGACTAGGTCTTGTAGCAATTCAGTCGAAAAACCACAACCAGCTATTGGATCACGGGGTATTCACAACTTCGAACAACATATGTTCGCTCTCCTCGAGCGCCACCGATTCACTTGATACAGATTCACCAGCACTGGGCCTCGACTTGCCTCGATTCACTTGTGGCCAATTTTTCCCTGGCTAGAATTGCTATAAATCATGGAATACCTTTCTATCATGAGCACCTTTTTCCAAACATTTACACAACTTGCTTCGCCCTCCCGGTTCTGAAAGCCCTGTGCAACAATACCACAGCAAACAAGCAATCACTGAAAACATTATCACAATGCCTTATTCTTATTTCAGAATGATTTTCATCGTTCTGTTCCTCGGTTTGTTTCTCCAGGGGGTCTTAGGCGGACCCCTGCCCGAGCAATTCAACACGGGCTGCTTCGTTATGCAGATGGCCCCTGTTGTGAACGATTGCCGTCAAGTCGTCAATGCCTTCAACCGTGAGTATCCCCAGTACCTCTTCGACTGACATCGTATCTAACAATCTGAGCAGGTCATGACCCATCAGGCTACATTACAGTTCAGGGCAATCATGCCTTCAGAATCACTCATGGCAACTGCATGGGCACACTGAGCAACAAGTCTGGTTCTCCGACCGCAGTCAACCAGGATACGCTGGCGGTTATGATGAAAAATTACATCATCGACCCCTGCGTTCTTTACAGGCAGTGGGGGTTCTATGAAACCGACAAGTATGTCATGGAGCTGGAGTTTTCGGGAGCTGATGGTGACGCCAAGGACGGAGGTACGCCGACAGTCGTCGAGGAGGACGTGAAGTTGTCTGGCGACCAAGGCAAGGCCAGACATGACTGACGCATACCACAACCGCGCTGATTGAGAGTCCATGGAAGAACGGAGGTTACGCTTAGCTAGAGAGAGAGGGCACTCTGCTTAGGTACCTCTTACCTATACCTACATGTAGGATACCTATAGGGAGGGCTAGGCAATTGGACACCTCAATGGCTCAGGATGCTCGAGACAGAAGCCACACATATTTTGAACCCCATAAACCCATATTATCGGTAACCTCAAAAGTGAAATTTTGTGCTGTCGCGTGAGGTGGTGCTGGGTGGAAATGATGAGCACGGTGTAAGTGAGCACCGGGTTAGGGTTGAATTAGTACTTCTCCCAGCAAGAACAACCCTTGTCACATGTTTTGCTTGGAAACCTTGCCACAAGCGCCACAAATACCCCTACCCAGCGCGCCAAGATGGAGGTCACCAATCGCTCGCGATCCAGCGAGTCGAGCCGTTCCTTGACGCCTCCACAGTCTCGCATCCCACTGAGCTCCAGCGAAAGTTTGACTGCAACCTCATCAACCGACGACAAGCTCTTTCAAAACATCACTCTCCCAGACTCGTTTTCTCGAGCTGCCATTCCCGTTACGATGGTCAGTGCTTAGCGACCCCAAAACACCCCACCAATCCATCAATCAATCCCCCACCCAACCAGCCAACCAACCAAAACAACTCCCCCAATTTCCATCCCATCCCATGACCCAGACGCCCCACCCCACACCTCACACTCACCCACCACCTCTCACTAACCCCCCGCAGAACAAAGACGCCTGCTTCACCTACGCACACATGCACCGCTCGCAGCACGCGGAGCTCTTCGAGGAGTTCTGCAAGGACCGGCTGCCCAAGGACGACGTGCTGGTGCCGCCCGACCTGCAACCCGTCAACCCGGAGGAGGAGGACGACGTGGTGCCGGACCAGCACGCTGCGTACGGCGTGCAAAAGGCTACGCAGCGCGCCCGCGAGCCCGCGTGGCGCGACCTGGGCCTGGCGGAGCTGATGGCGCGCGGCCCGATGGTGGGCGTGGTGCCGAAGAGGAGGGTTGGGGCCGGGGGGAAAGAGGAGGGGTGGTGGGGGTGGTGGTGCTGGGGGTGAGGGGGGGACAGTATCAGGGTTTGCCGCGGTGAGGTGTATGTGGCTGGTTATGAGTTGGTTTTGCGTTGGGAGCATTGCTAGGCGTTACGTTGGCAGGGTTATCAAGGTGGTGTTGGCATGCCGAGGGCATATTGGGTGGTCATGGACAAGCGCATTGTTAAGGCGTTAACGTAGAATATTCATTCCTCAGACACCGATACCTAGCCGACATCCTTGTAAAAGTGATACCCAATGGCCCTCGCCAAACGCAAAACCCGGATGGACCGTCCCCGAATCCCAAACGCCAACCCAATGCCAAAACCTGTCCCATATAGGTATCGTCTACTTGTATTCCCACTTTCACGACTTCCCGAGCAACGCCTCCCTCTCCAGAATCTCCGGCTGGAACTTGACCAAAAACACCGTCTTCCCAGGCCACATCTCGCCCTCCTCTTTACCCCCCACACTATGCGCGGTCACGCGCGCGGGGAACATGGCGCCGTCGCACACGCCCTCGATGATGCCCGCGATGAAGGCGGCGCAGTTGAGCTGGCTCATCTCGCGCGGCACGCTGATGTAGGCGTTAACGACGGGCTCGTTGTCGACGATCATGTACTCGTCGGGTGTGTCCGGATTGGAGCTCTTCTCGAGCCGGTCCGCCTGCCGCCCGAACAGGTGCGTCCACAGGTTGATCTTGATGAAGTGCAGCAGCGCGATGATGGTCAGCGGCCGCGTCTGCGTCCGCGGCGGCTCGCGCATCAGCAGCAGGTCGAGGAGTTTTAGCCCGATGGGGTGGCCTTGTACGTTGAGGCTGGTGAGAGGTCCGTTGTTAGTTGGGATGATGACGCAGGGGAAGGGCGGGGCGTGGGGGCGTGGGAGCGTACCGCTTCTCGAGCTCTTGGATGCCTGTTACCCGCCGCTGTGCGTAGGTCACCATCTCGGAAAAGAGGTAGGCAAAACTGGACTGGCTGAGCTCGGCCGCCTTGGTACGGTTGAGTGGTCGGTGGTAGATGGTCTTGCCATTGGACGGGTAGCGCAGGCCTGTCTGCTCCTTGCTGCTTGCCGTCTTGCCGGGGCCTAGGTGCGCCATTGTGGTTGCTATGGGGTATCGGCGGATTGAGCTTCTGTTGTTAATTCTACGGTACAAGGTGCGGTTCAAACGGTTCAAACGCGGTTCAAATTCGGGTCGGGCAGGGTCCGACGCTGAGGTCTTGGGCAGAATGCCAATTCTTTGGTGTTGCAGCGGCACTGCTGTGCTCAACTCATGCCGAATCAAAGATCTGGTCTAACTGCATCTGGAAACGGGCCTATGCCTGTCAGAGAAAGCGGTGCCTGCTTTTGGGTTCGAGCTCAGGGATCCTGGACCCCAACAGCGGCAGAATCAGCTGCCCAAGGTACCTAGGTACCCCGCCACGCTCGCCACCAGCCGCGCCATGTGAGCTCAGGTTACTTCTGCCGATTTCCACCACCATCTTTTTCCTACCTAACAACCGTTTGCACTTCTCGACACTCCTCCATCAACTTCTCAAAAAACCTTCAAATATTCGGATTTACTCATCAAAATCACGATATCATCCGATTTAAATCACCATGTCCGCAACAACGCTCGGACACAAGGGCGTCGCAGCTGTCCAGAATAGAGACTATGCGGCTGCGATACCACTCCTCGACAAAGCTCTCGCCTCGTCGACTTCTCCAGCCTGGTTGCTTGCCCGCGCTCAAGCACATCAGCAGCTGAAAAACTACGACGCCGCTCTCCATGACGCTGAACTGGCCTATCACACCGCGGCGGAGCGCGGTTCGGGGAACTCTCGCAGGCAAATGATCGAATCACAATACCGTCGTTCGGTTCTCTATTACAAGCTTGGACACCATGCAGACGCCGATTGCTGCGCTAAATGGTGCATGCTATTGGCCGAGGGGCGCCCGGCGCGCGAGGACGACGGCGTTGAGAAAGCGGTCGACGGTAATGGCAACTATACTGTAACCTACGAGGTCGGTGTTGCTGATAAGGCCGGCCAACCAGGCCAGAGCGGCGATTTTAAGGCAAACGTCCTCACTGGTATTATGGGAGGCAACGGGGGCGCAGGATCCTCGCCAAAGACAGGTTTCGAGGACGATTGGAAGCGCGCATATACTTGGAGAAGCCAGGTGCTCGGTGCTTTGGACAAATTACCAGAGGATCATCCGGGCCGGAAGATCACCGTCACCAAGATTCCGGTTAAACCCTCGGCGAAATCCACCAAGCCGGAGCCCAAACCCGAGCCGAAGCCGGAGGCAATCAAGGCCGCGCCCACTCCGGGCAGTGTCCCCGACGAACAGCTCAAGCTCAAGGTCGACTTCTACCAGAGCAACGACAAAGTTTCTGTGACGCTGTACGTGAAGGATGTTAAGAAAGAGGAACTCCAGGTGGAGTTCTCAGAGACTCAGGTTAGTTCGGAGGCTTCCTTCACAGCTTGTTGTCGAATCGGGTCTAACCAGCTACAGGTACGGCTTTCACCACTTCCCCGCGCGGCGGCTCCGTATGTCAAGGCAGGTGACCGTGAAGCGACATCTACCCTTACTTTGGACGGGAAGATCGATCCTTCGACATCTCGATATACCGTCTTCTCGCGGAAAGTCGAACTTACCCTTGCCAAGGCCGCCCCAGGCATCAAATGGGGTTCATGGGGCAAAGAGACCATTGGCCCAGACACATGGAACAACGATACCAATGCTGCTTCGGGTGTGACCGGCAGTTCAGCCTCTGTACCCGTCGCCGAGGCCCAACAGAAAGACCAGTCCGCAGCCATCCCGGAGCCGGCTCCGAAGACCACTACCTCTGCTGCCCCCGCCTACCCGACGAGCAGCCGCTCCGGCCCGAAGAACTGGGACAAGCTGGCCAATTCCGAGGCAGAAGGAGAGGATGATGACGCCAGTAAGGGGGATCCCAACTACTTCTTCAAGCAGCTTTACAAGGGCGCCACTCCTGAGCAGCAGCGGGCCATGCAGAAGAGCTTCATCGAGAGCAACGGCACCGCCCTCAGCACTGATTGGAATGACGTCAAGGCCCGCACCGTGGAGACGTTGCCGCCTGACGGCGTTGAAGCGAAGAAGTGGGAGTGAGGTTGCTCAGGAACTGGGTCTTTTATTTTCTTTTTTTCTTTTTTTCTCTTGGTTGGTTTCATCTACCTCTTCGTGCATTCTGCTTGGTTGAGAGGTGGTAATTATCCACCTTTGAAGGCGTTGTTGGAAAAGGCTGTTGCTGCGCCGGTATGCGCTCGGGGGGTGGTGTTCCAAGGGGCGTCACTAGGAGCAAAGCAGGTAGAGCCTTGCAGGCGTTAGGGTAGTTTAGTCAACAAGTATTAAAATTGCTGGCGTCGCTTCGTTCGTCAGTCGCGCGGCCCTTCGCTACGCTACGGGGCGCTTCCTTCCTCTCTCCCGCTCCTGGCAATTTTCCTGTCCCTCTCCGGAGGACAATCGAGCTAATTTATTGTTATTAAGTACGGGAGAGACGAAGCGCCAATATCTGTCCGGAGTCTAATATTGTTCGGCCAAACTGCTTGCTATTTTCTACATGCTTAATTCGTAGTCACACATAACTCTCCGTATCGCTCGCTTCCACGTTGCTTGGTCGGTATAGCGGCTCTAGCAACCTAGCCTTCCAACGCCTCTCGTAATCCGCCAGCTTCCTCTGCATGGCAGCAGTCGGCGGGTCCCGGTTCACTCGGCTTCGGTCGAATGGTACGTCGAACATCACCCCGTCCAGCCTCGACGCCCGGGAGACGGCCACGTATGACAACCCGGAAGCGAACTCGCGCTCCGAGATGTCGCACACCACCTTGGGCAGCGTGATCCCCTGGGACTTGTGCACCGTGATAGCGTACGCGACCACTAGGGGGAACTGTGTGCGGCTGCACGTCTTGTTCTTCAGGGTGAAGTCTTGCCTCACCTGCAGGATCGGGACCACCAACCTGCCCTGCCCGTCCTGAAGCTCTACGTCTCTTGTGTAGTACGGCGGCCCCGTATACTTGTCGAGGGCCACCATGATGACCAACGGCGGATCCCGCAGGGGGTCCGCCCCTTCCGCCCAGCCGATATCGTGTACCGTGCCTTGGGCGCCGTTCACCAGGCCCACCGGGTTCCAGATATTCCTGGTCAACATCACTCTGGCGCCGATGCATACCGGGAAGCGGCTCGACAGGTTGCCGGCGTCTTTCGACTCGGCCTTACTTGCCCCGTCGCCTTGGTGGGTAGCCTCTACGTAGAGGGCCGGAGAGTTCAGGTCGACCATGTGGTCATGATTATAAGACCGCACCTTTTCTCTCGTCGGATAAATGCGTACGGCGTTCGCGAAACCGGCTTGTACTCTGGGTGAGAGATTGGACGCGCACCGGGAGACTAACAGCTCCCACCCCGTGACCGACACCCGAGCCTGTCTGAGCTCGACCAAGGCGTCGCGAAACCCGGCCTGGTCCGCCCCATGTTGCCGCTGGATTGTCTCCAAGAAAACCGAGTGCTCGAAGGCGCGGTAGGCATTGAGACCAGCAACCTCCATCTCCTTCATCAACCTGTCGTACTCGGCATAGATCGGCTTGTTCAGCACCGGCGGCAGCTGGAAGAAGTCTCCGATCAGAATGACGCTCAATCCGCCGAAAAAGAAGTCATTCTTCTCCGGAAAGATCTCGCGGAGCCGCCGATCGATCCAACCCAGAGTCTTGAGCCCCAGCATGCTCTTTTCGTCGATGACGAGGTAACGTACACCCGCAAAAACACGCTGTAGGTTCCCCAAAACAGTGGGTGTTTCGGTCAACGGGCGGTAGTTGCCATCGATAGGCAAGCGGAGGAGGGAGTGCAGCGTCTGGCCATTGATCTGGTTGCTCGCGACCCCGGTGGGTGCGGCACGGAGAATGGGCGATTTTCGGCCGGGGAGAGTTTGCTGGAGGTGAGACGACAGCATGTTGACCATGTACGACTTCCCAGTGCCTCCGCCGCCGTCAACATGCAACAGGATGGGCGGTACGTTATCCCGTTCTAGGTGGCCCATAATAGTGTCGTACACGATCCTCTGTTCCCGGTTGAGGGTATCCCGGGCCTTCAGAGGAATGTGTTCAACATCTCCCGCCATACTGGGGTGCTCGACTTTGAGAAGATCCCAGTATTTGCCGCTGTCGAACCGTTCATCGATATACCGGCCGACGTGGGGATGCCAGTCGTACCTGATGTCGATATCTCGCCTAGTCAGTAGGTCGATCTCCTCGTGTTCTGGTTGGAGCTCAGGCACCATGCGTGCGAGCTCCTGCCAGTCTTCGAGACTGATATCTTCCTGGAAGGGTACAGCCCGGAACTCGTCCTCGTCAGCCGCGGGTTCCGGCGCTTCCGCCTCTCCGTAGTGGTCATCCTCATGTTCATGGTGCTCCAAGCAGTGCTCGTATGCCGCCACGTAGCCTGAGAAACGGGTACCGTCGAGGGTTAGAAAGCCGCCGCATTCCCGATGAGGATGTGCCAGCATAAGCTTGACCCGGCAGAAGTCCTCGAACTGTACGTGCCCATGGACCGGCGTGTACCGCGGGAAGTAATACAACACCCTGGGCCGAGCGGGTGGGCGCCATTCCCTCCAGTTGCCCGGGTTTGGCGATTGGAAGTTCCACGTCTCCAGGAACCTGAAATACGACACCGCCTCCATGTCACTAGGCCGTTCCAGGTATTTCTCGTACGACGTCTTCTTCGTCTGGACAGCCTCATCCGCTTCGGAGAATTCTGCCAACCGGTTATGCCTGTCAGCCGGTCGGCAGTCGACGCTAATCACAACGCGGCTGTCCTGGTAGAGGGGTAGCTTGAGGAGGATGTGGCACGTCTCCTGTGCGGAGTAATCCCTCTCGCCGATTAACTTGTTCATCATCCTCGAAACAAACGACAGCATGGGGTTCCTGTCCGAGACGTGTGGCAATATGGCCCCGGCGATCTCGGCGTACGTGCTGGTCTTGGTCTCGGTCTTGCTGCAGTATTTGGCGGCGTAGTTGATCACCGCCTCGATCCCGGTGCACGGCGAGATGTCGGTGTTGCGCAGCCAGCAGAGCGTGATGAGCCGGTTATACTGGTTCATGTGGGAGTCGTTCCGTACCGCCTCAAACGACCACCACGTCTTGCCCGGCCTTCTAACCAAGCCGGCTTCCTCTCGATGCGGGCGGGGAAACAGAAACCGGCATTCCGGTTCGGGGCCCGGCTCGCCGTTCTTCTCTGCCAGTTCCGCCGCGCGTTTGTTGATGCGCAAACAGTAGGTGGACGAGCAATGATGCCGTTGGCACCGGTTGAGGACGCGATCCAGCCAGTCCCATGTTACTTCCGTCTGCAGTGCGTCGACGTTCAGTGGGTTGCCGCCATCACCTCCTTGTCCAATCCGATGGGGCTGGGGGTTTTCCGCCGAGATGTGGTAACCCCACAAACGCGCGAACCTCGCCCTCTCCTCATCTGTGCTGGTAGCCTGCTGCGGGCCCTCTTCAAACCAGTACAGCCCGTGGTTATGACTGCTGCCTCGTCCTTGCCATTCGTACCGACACTAAAAGTCTGAAAGGTTAAATTTTTTGGTTAACACCACGTCTCGGAATGCCTTGAACCGCGTGGTGAAGTACCACGCCGCGATATGGGGGTTCTCGCGAAGCAGGCGACCGGACAACGAGATCCGGGCCGGCTCGTCCAACACCTGCCACCGCTCGAATTCCGGCATGTGCCGGTAGAGGTCGTGCCAGTGCAGATCGGCTGGGCTCAACGTGATGAATACGCCGGGGACGCCCAGACAGTGCGCGAAAGATTCGCACTCCCTGCGCCGGCGGTACCAATAGGGTCTCGTACCCTGAATCGCCCCAGCAAAGCGGGAGATCTGGTTGAGGATTGCCTGAGCTTCAGGACGGTCGGGATTCTCCAGTGCCTGTTGTAACTCCGCCTTGGTTAGGACGGTAGACCGCTGCTTGTTGACGTAGAACCGGCTGTGCCCATAGGCCTGCTGCCGCATGAGGGTGTTCAATGCGATGTAACGGAAGGTATGATGGCGGGCAAAACGCCCGTCATGCCACTTCATCGCATGCGCCAAGTAATCCGAGTAGCTGATGGCGCGTTGCCTCGGCTGGTTGAAATCAGCAAGACCGCGTGGGTAGAGGCTGGGACATGCTAGCGACAGCAGAGCCTGCGACCGGTTGAACTCGCTGATCGGCGTGAATCTGATGGGAGGCATTGGAAGGTGGTGAGCGTCGCGCGGTTGCTGCTGCTGCATTGGAGGACGTTCTTGGTTCTCCGGGCCGTTGTTTTCGAGTCCGCCCTGCAGCAGGGCGAATTCCGAATCCTTGACCAGCACGTTGGGTACAGCTGCTTCATCGAACCCCAGCCCATCCTCGTTCTCCGGCCTGTCACCGTCGACTGGGCCCTGGTCGGGCTCTAGGTCTTCCCAGCTGCTCACTTCGTGGATGGTAAGTTGATCGAAGATGGACTCGTCTTCGGGTAGCTGGCTTAGATTTGATTCGCTAAGGAGAAAGCCTTTGTAGCCAGGATGGTTGCGTGACAGGAAACGGAGCCAGGTAGCCACCACTCGGCGGCGAATGCGAAATCGCTTGCGAAACTGTCGGTCCATCGCGGGATCGGCTTCAGAACCGCTCGGACGCAGAATCACGATATCCAAATCCTTGGGCAGCAATGGAAGTTCGTCATAGACCTTGCCTACGTCGCGAAGGAAATGAACAACATGGCCGCGATATTTGTACTGCTGGCCCCGGACCTGAAAGCCAAAAGTAAGAAGCAATGCCAACAAAGATAGAAAGGAACACACCGTAAACACGTTGACTGCAACGTGGACCCGCGAGATAACCATCTCTTCGGCGGGATGGAGGATGGGTAGAGAGTCTGGCATCTCTCCAAAGTCCAGGTGGTTCTCGGCGGAGTAAAGGAAAGGTTCGTCAGCCCGCTTCTTGTCATCCTTTTGGTGACAGCGTTTGCAAACTCCATCCGCCTTTAGCTCAACATCAAACCAGCGTTCCTTACATCTGAAACAAAGGCGCATGTTTTCCTGCGCAAGGCGCTCGTTAAACTCATGCTTGATAGTAACATCGTTTTTGCAAAGCGGAGATCCCTGCAGATCGCCCGTGTATTTAGGAGGCGGTTCGTTGAAATCGCGGGGCGGGACCGGCGGCGGGTCATTGACCGGAATTTTGCGAGGACGGCCTACTGGTTGTCTCGGCTTTGGTGGGCGACCATGGCGAATTTGGCTGCGTAGGGGCGCTGGAGAAGGTTCTGGACGAGTGACACGGCGAGGACGGCCACGTGGGCGGCGAGGAGCAGCTGGATTGTGAAGGGGATGTATCCGTGGTCGGCCAGGCGGACGGCGAAGAGTCGGATCGGAAGGGGGCTGTTTTCGAGGCCGGCCTCGCTTCCCTCGCTGTTCGATAGGCTCTTCCGGTACAGGCCCTTCTGCTACTGCGATGCCTGGCTCGGAGCGGGAATTGCTCCGGTCATCATCGCTACTTTGGTCGTCTCCTTCGACATCCTCTCGGCCCTTAGATTGCCGACGAAGCAACTCGCTCAGTCGGGGTGTCTGACTCGGCTCCTCATCATTACGCCGCAATGACCGGTGATCTCTCTGGATGCGGGCAAGCTCTTGACGAGCAGCAGCGACGGTGACAGAGTCGCCCTCTACCACACCGCCGGCGTGATACCGCTCACTCATCACAGCATGGGTGAGGTTCTTGCGCTTGGGCGGGGCCGCCACCTCGTCCGACACGTCAGAAAGCCTTTTGTTGCCTACAATCTCACGCATTATGGCAACGGAAGTGGTCGATTGTTTCACCTGTGCGATCTGTATTAGCAACAAATCAAGTATGGTGGGAAGCTATGGTTACTCTGTCGGCCGCCTTCTTCCGGCAAGCAAGACATCTTTGTACTGTCTTCGAGGAATCACGCAGGTGAACAAACTGCATGGCAGGCTGCTTCTCTCTGCAGTGGGAACAAACCCTCATTTCTCCGTTGATCTCCATGCTGGATGGGAACATTGGATTGGGAGGTAAATAACAACTGTCGCGCGAGTGTCCCAAAACAGACATGGGCTGATCTTATCCCGCCAATTTACGCGTCCAAAACACGATAGCAGAAATAGTGGAGACCGCAGCCCTGTCGACCAATTGGCAGATCGTATGATTTTTCGAGAGTTTTCTTCTATTTAAATCACGTGACTTTACCATAATAATTCTTTTGGAGTTTGGCCGCAATATTGTCCTCCGGACAGGATTATGGACATCTAAGGGTATACTTCTAAGTTGCCGCATCTAGTCTAGTCCACGCGGTCTTTATTACGAGAATTAGGACGGCTGTCTTCCGCCGAGGGCGCCGACGCCAGCGGCTGGCTGCCCTCGACCTCCACGACGCTCATGTCCATACGCACCAGGAACTGCTTGCCTCTCCAGTTCACAGTGGCGCCCAGCAGGACCGCCCACGTCCAGATGGGCAGTGCCAACACCTCCCTCCCCAGCCAAGCAGGCAGCCACTCCAAGAACGGCCGCTGCTTGATGCCCCCTTGCCTGCCCGCCCCACGCGCAAAGGCAGGCGTGTTCTCATCCACCTCGACACTTTCCAGCCGCCGCATCCTGCTCGTGAACCAACGATCGAGCACCATCCACGCCGTGACCGTAGCCGCCCACACCGCCGCCATGGCAGCCCACGTGGGCTGGAGGCCGAGCGCGGCGCGCGCCCAGGGGAGCGTGGTCAGCGCAAAGGACAGGTGCACGCTGCACAGCAGCGGCTCGATGCCCGGCTCGACGAGCGTCGCCAGCAGCACCGTCCACTTGCGCACGCGCAGCCACCGCACCCGCCGCGCCACGTACGCCGCCACCGACATGCCCGACATGGGCTGGATCGCTACCTCGCCGAACACGAGCGCGTGGTTGCCGATCCCCGGGGTGGTTGTTGTTGGTGTTGTTGTGTTTGTGGGGGATGACCGCCAGGTGAGGTCGCCGATTAGGTGGTCCTCGCAAATGTAGGAGGAGAAGAAGTCGAGTCCGCGCCCGCGTGTCGCGTCGGAGGCGGGGAGGATGGGGTTCTGCGCTGGGTCGGTCATGGTGTCGAGGTGGGCTTTGCGGAACATGCTGCTCTTGCCAACGATGCAGGGCGCGATGCCTACCGTGTTGATGGCGCTGTAGAACTTGGCGTGCGTGGTCGACATGAACATTTCCTCGAGCCGGCCGCCGTGGTCGAGCAGGCTTTTGGGCGCACGCGGCTGTTTTGTGTCGTTGGACAGTAGGCCAAGTTCTTCGGCGGCTTTTGGTTCCTCGATGTCGACGACAAGCGGCAGCTGGTGCACTAGTTTGTAAGGGGTTGTTCTCGCGCCGTCAGGGCGGAACCCGTAGAGCTTGTCCACCATCCTCCCCGCCGAGCCGGTCCCGACCCAGACATTGCAATCGACAATCCATATGATTTCTCCTTTGGCCTCCCGGTATGCGCGGCTCATGTTGCGGATCTTGGGGTTCGGGCCAAGGTTGTTGACATGGCCGCCGGTCCCATGCAGTAAGGGGTCATCCTCCTCGACTAGCACCCTGGCGTCGAAACCGGGGAAGTCTGCGACGACCTTTTGCAGAAGCGGGTATGCCGGATCATCGGCGGATGAGACGCAGAGGTGGATGGTCAACTTTGACTTTGGGTAGGCGAGCCGGAAGGTCGAGGCTAGACACTCGTAGAGACCGACTTCGACGCCCTTGACGGGCCGGATTATCGTGATGTGCGGGATCTCCTCAGGTTTTAAGGAGGGGGACACTGGCTTCGGACGCGTCGGAGTGTGGTTACGGAGGCTAGAGTGAGAAAGCGGGCAAAGTCAGTAACAGTGACAACACGTCAGTACAGACGGAATAGGGGAGGTGATCGTACAGTTGGGTGATCCCGATGGTTTGGACGAGGAAGACAGCACAGCTCCAGACCAGGCTTACCAAGGCCGCGCCTTGGACTGCTATCGACATCGGATCATTGCCAACAGTCATCGCTGTGTGAGCGAGAAAAGAGGATGGTGGACCAGAGAAGTCTGGCGCGACGGCAAGTTCGGCGATTTCAGAGAAAAGGGACTCGAGAGTGACCGCAAATCCATGTGGGTCGCTGACAAGTCCGACCAGTCCAAAGGGATAAACATCACTAACTCAAAGCGAAAACAGGGGCTTTGAGATCACAATATTAGGGACAAGGGCATACATTGCCTAAAACACGGCTTGATTAACTAGTGTAGTTTCCTATTGGCGACCGTGGAAGGCTCAACTTTTTGTCGAACATGCACAAAAACAAGACGACATCGCTGCTGCTTGGAGTTTGAAACTGGAGATGCACAATTCGCCAGAGGCCAACCAATTCGACGGTGCGGAAAAACGGGCCCCACTCGCCTGTCCACCCTGCTGGAACTCCAGGTCTGCTCCACTGATGCCTCAATCAACAGGCAGCATTCGGTTTCTTCGGCCTCTGCAAAATCTGCAGCCGACGCAAAAAAAAACTGCACCACTATTTCTCACCAAGCTTCTGGCAAGCTTGAGCAACATGCCAAAACAACATAAACTCGAAGCTTCCCAGATGTGAAAAGAAGCTTCAGGACAACAGCTCAACCTGCCTCGCATCCTCAGCGACCTTGATCAGTACGTCGGAGGGTTTGACTACTACTACTGCCCTTGATTGGGTTCAGTTTTGGTCATTGGGTAAGTCGGCCTCTTCGGCTTTTCTTTCTTTTTTTTGATGGCTTTTGTTCGGGGTCATGCGCGACAAGCTTGTTGGTCCAATTCTGCCCTCGAGTGAGGATGTCTTGGATCGTGAGAAGCGCAAGACCAGCGATATGGCTACTCGTCTCTCCCACACACCTACTCGTCGATACGATGGAGGGGTGGAGGAGGGGCTCGAGCAGCTCGATGCACCTCCCCCGATTGCGGTGATGACACCTAAATACTTGTGCTTAGAGCAATGTGCTTCAGTGTACGCTCGATGGAAGCCCTCTATTTATAGACTACAACGGTATCTGAGCAATTAACTTCGCCGTGCTTTTACTTCTTCGGTTTTCACATGGCTTGCTGGAGACTAACAAACGCACTGCTTGCTAGGCCGACATGAATCATCATAGCTATGGCTGAAACCTCGACAATCACAACCACAACTGCCGGCAATGATGCCAAGGTCGTCGGAACAGGCTCGCTGGGCAGCGCCCCGAGTGCTCTGGCACCCACAGAGCGGGCATCACCTCCTCGGCCACCCTTGAAACAGATCTACAGTCTGCCGGCCCCGATCCGGACCTTTCCTCTCCCCACCTTTTATCCGAATAATCCAATCTCGCTTCTGCACCTTGTCTATGCGTGGTTGAGCCAAGTCTTCCGACCTCCATCACACGAGCCGTCTGTGGTGCATATAGGAGTCTGGAATCCCGAGACGCGCTCGGTACACATCTTAGACGAATCTTCCATACGTGCTCTCTGGGAGCAAGGCTTCTATGGGAAAGGAAGCCTCAGCCGAAGCGAGCCGAACTGGTTGAAGCGGGAGCTGGCACGACGGGGCTCGCCGGAAGGCAAGACCGTCAGTGAGGCACGCACCGAGCTGCGGCGAGAAGAGCGTCGCCTTGCCAAGTGGGAGAGAGCGAAAGCTGAGCTGGAGGCGCTGGAGAAGCAGAGGCTCGCCGAGACCATCGCCAAAGCTGCTGCCAGCGGAACAACCGGCCCTGGAGGAGCCCTAGACGAGCCTGTTAAGGCGGCAGAGCCCTCGGCACTTCCCGGTCCCGTTTGCCCCGTCGATGCAGAATCAAAAGAACCCGAAGAAGCTGAGGAAGAAGAGAAAACTCAAGAAGATGAAAGTGAGGAAGATGAGGAAGATGAGGAAGATGAGGATGACGAGCAAGAATCCACGCGGCAGACGACGCCCACTATCGGGGCTTCCTATCCTCAAGACCCCGACGGCCGCCAGACATATAAGGGACCCAAACCCCCTGTTGGCCCAGCAGAGTTGCTCGCCCTCCCAAACTCTTTATCAAAGCTGAACGACCTGCTGAACGGCCCATGGCTTGATCGACCTCACGAGGACACCCATGAGGTGAAAGCGCCAGTTGGCCCAGCGGAACTGCTCCTACTTCCGAACTCCCATGCGGACCTTGTCTCAAGGCCCGTCAGCGGGGTCGCTATCTTTGAGATTGGGCAAACCGCTCCTAGTCAACCGACTTTGCAGGCGACGCACGACATTAATGACCATGCGGAAGACTCCGATGCCCAGCCCAAGGTAAATGGTTACGTCAGCGGGGACGCGACCAAGGCAAGTGCCTCGACTGGCAGCAAAGAACTTGATGGTGTGTCGAGCAATGTTGTGCGCCTGAATGGGACTGGTAAAACTCCCGTCACGCCTCCTTCGTTGCCCGCGGATGGTCCCGTTTTGTGCCCCTCGGCTGCGGAATTGGAAGGCGACCTAAAGCGCCGGAAGAGCGTCCGCTTCTCACCCACGGTTGAATCAACCACCTTTTTGCATTCTGATCCACCGAGCCCTGGCCGCTCGGCCGGCGCCCAGCCGAGGAGTGCCGCCCCTGCTCCCGCGCCACCAAACGGTGGGACGGTTCCTGAGGAAGCCCTCCCTAAGGAAACCCCCGTTTCCGCTCTTCCTGAGAAGGGTTCGACTTCGAACCCGGATTCCGCGGTGGACATCGAGAACAAAGAGCATTTCCAACTCGCTCCCGAGGAAGCCTTTTTCTTGGTATTCTCTATCGGCGCCTTGAAGGTCGTAGATCCTGTGACCAGGTCTCCAATTTCTACTGAGAATCTCCTGTCTCTCTTCCGCTCACACTCCTACTTCACTCCTCGCACAGCCCACTCCCGTCTCAGGCCAGACGACCCCTTTCTCATTAACTACGCTGTGTACCATCATTTCCGGTCGCTGGGCTGGGTTCCGCGCCACGGTATCAAGTTTGGGGTAGACTGGATCATCTATCAGCGCGGGCCGGTCTTCGATCACAGCGAGTTTGGTATTATGGTCATGCCTGCTTTTTCGGATGCTGCCTGGAAAGAACATGACCATGAAGAGCTGGAGCGGTCGTGGTCGTGGCTGATGGGAGTTAACCGGGTGCTTTCGCACGTTCTCAAAAGCTTGGTGCTTGTTTATGTGGATATTCCTCCCCCAGCGGTGTTTGATGGAGAGATGCAGCGCGGCGGTATCGCGGCCGCGTTGAAAAAGTACACTATTCGAGAGGTTATGGTTCGGCGCTTCTCAGCAAACCGTAACCGGTGATGTACGAGAGCATGATGCATGGAAGGCGTTGGGGATTATGTTACTGTATAAAGCATACCGCATGGGCAACGGGGCCGGCATTTATATGCCCGAAGAATTGATTAACACTTCACACAAACGAGACTTGAGTTACTGTGACTAGAACCGGATCAGGCCTTCACTCCGCTTTTCTGCAATGTAAAGATATTTAGAATTTATCATCCGAGGACTCGTAGTCCGTACGGGAACAGATAACCCAAAAGGATGCACCGTGCCATAACATGTTTACCCACTGTCATTACACAGCTGTTCGCATGAAGGTTGTGTGCGCATGATCTTTCTAAATACACCCAAGCATCACAAAGGCAAACCTCGACGGAAGACCTTGCAAGAAATGGAAGCGTTTCACGAACCCTCCGTTAAACCCGACTTCCTCCCCTCTTAAGCACTTGGTCAACCTGGTTGAAAAGGCCATCCCAAGCACCCAGTGAGCGCAGACATGCCTCGTCAGAGACGACAATCCCCAACAAGAGCAACCCGGATAGCCTGACCTACTTAATACCTATACACAGCACCCACCCTGAACAAACCAACCTCACAGAAAACAACACTCACAAATAACGGCCCCCGTAACAATGATCCATTCCCAGCACCCAAACTCAAGGGCAGCTAATACCACCCCACTTATTCTCAGTCGCCTCTCACCAAGCCGAGTGAATCATGCCGCTGTTGCAGCCCAAGGAACATTGAACTTCCACTTGAGATTGGCGCTGTTGGCGCTGCTGCTCCCGCAGGAAGGGCTGGTCACGGTGCACGAGCCGAAGCGCCGCAGGTTCGACCAGAGCCCTCCGCACACGGCGGGGATCTTGGACGCCCCCGACGCCGGTGGGTGGCTCGCACGGTGTAGGTCTGGTAGAGGGGGTCGATGTCTCTGGCGCAGCTGGCGCTGGCGGAGGCGGGGTTGCTGAAGGTTAGGAGGGTGGTGGTTGGGGCGAGGATGGGGAGGTTGGGGAGGTGTATCTTGGGGGTTGGGAGTGTGCTTTTTTGGGGTTGGGTTTGGGTTCGCGTGGGAAGATACCTAGGTAGGTAGGTGTTGGAGATCCGTGGGAGGGCGGGTGTGATGAAAGTGGGAGTTGGGAGTCAGATATCGACGGGTTAAGAAGAGCTTACCTATATACCCGGATTTCAATATTCCGGCTTGCTCTCTTTTTTGAAACCGTTTTATCATCCCGCTTCACAACATCGAACGGTCCTATCGGAGAGACTCGTTTTGAATGAATCATCCGGCCTGGGCTGACATGGTTCGCTTAACTGTAAGGTCGTGGATTTCCGGCGTCAATAACCGTTTCATGTACTCGCTGGTCCCCTATATGGGCCTTGTACAGAGGGGGGATGAGTGGCTGAAGTAGGGTGAAGATGTTCTTACGTTGTTGTTACTACCTATTCACCCTATGATGTTGTCATGAGAATGCTGTCAGCGGGCCATTCTACATCTTGGCCGAATGTCAGCCGTAAGCCGACCAAACAACCGCCTAGCCAAGTATAGAGGAAGCCTGGGGTTCTTCTACACTGGGATACAATTTCTCGTTTGTGGGGGCTAAACTTTCTGTGATGTGGTTGTGGACCCTAGGAATGGCCCCCAAAAAAGGCCTAGGGGTGGTGTGGAGGAACGGGACGGTTGCCCCTTTGCAAACAACTTAGTTCGTATTCAGGGTGTATGTACCGGCAGAGGTGATTGGGGCTTGTTCCATCGTGTCATCCGTTTAGATTTCCGTTTAGATTACCTCTACGGTTGCTCCTGTGTGGGCGGATCTCTGGGGCTGGCCCGCTGGGCTTTCGTAGCAACCACGTGTGGGGTGGGATCGCCTCCATGTCTATTTGAGGGAGAAATAGATAAAGCTCAAGGAAACCACAGTTGAAGGGACCCAGAGGAAGGGGAATGACAATTGTGAATGCGCAAGCAGCAAGCTCGTCTGGTCTCACACGGCGAGGCTGCACGTGCTGCTTATACCAAAGAGGAGGGGTTAAGAACTTAAGAAGTGCCAGGCATTATTGGAAAGCATGTTACCGTCTTTACAGTTCCTTCGTTCAAGCTTTCAAAGGTTGGTCGTAACAGATCAAATGTTAGGCGAATCTCGACTCCTTGCTGTGAAGGAGTCGCTCCCGCCAAGGCCAGGCATGATGGTAGGCACCCTCTGGCCAAAAAGACCGAACCCACAAAGGAAACAAGAAGTAAAGAAAAGAGAAGGAAATGAAGGAAATTACGGAAAGATGAAGAAAACCGAGCAAAATAAATCCAATAAAAGAAACCGAGTAAAAAAAACAAAAAAAAAAAAAAAACAAGTACATTTTGGCCTTCCGAATGGCTGTTTTTTTTTCGTTTCTCTCGTCAAAGGATTCGCCGGCACCCACACTTGGAGTTTGGCTTTTTTTGCCCATGGTGTGGTAGGGAACCCAATTCATTCAGGGGCACGGGTGACACAAGATCCTGAGAGTGGGTTTTTGGTCTTGGCAAACGGCTCAAGCGGCAGTCTTGGCCGGTTTAAAATGAAGGAACCAAAAAAAGGCTCGCTCATGTAACGTGGGATGGGAAGATGCCTCGATATAGTGTAGTGTATATATTCTCGTCTGTTGGTCCTCAACTCCAGTTTGGACGCCGTCTTGTCTCCCCCTCCGTCTCCTTCTTTCCACTACCAACCAAGGCCAAAGAAGAAAAAAAAGACCAAAAAACCGCCGTCATGGTCCGCTCCGTCCTCTCCCTCGCCCTCGCGGCCCTCACCCTCTTCCCCTCCCCAGCGACCGCCCAGGACGGTGTCAAAGACGGGCCCAACGTCCTCGACGAGTGCGTCGCCTGCCCGTATCTGTACAAGACCTTCTACACGTGCGCCCGCAGCGTCTCCGGACCGACGCGCACCAACGTCGGCGACTGCGTGTGCCCGCCCCCCGCCGGCGCCGGCTCCGACAACGGCTGGTACCCCTACATCGAAGCGTGCGCCACGTGCCTGCCGCGAGAGGAGTCGGGCGACTTCTGGACCAACGTGGCCACCGTGTTCTGGCAGACGACGAATGAGTGCCGCGGGCCCCGCAACGTCACCACCGATGCGGACGGTGTGCTGTGCATAGGGACTGCCAAGATGGACGCTTGCCTGGCGCTGCGGGACGCGTCCGAGGGCCCGTCGTGGGCGTCCTACCGGCTGTTCGACTACGAGAAGAACAACAGCAACAAGACGAAGGTGCTGAATCTGGCGGCCTTCAAGCCCAACACGACGTCGAGCGAGGCGGCGGCGGCGTCGACCACCGCTGCGCCCGGAACCGCCACGGGACTAGAGAGTGCGTCGGCGAGCACTACGGACCAGGCGGGTACTGCTACTGGGCCGGCGAGCGCCGCGACGACGACGACCGACTCGTCTTTGGCGGCGGCGCGGTTGGGCCAGGGATCGCCGGCGGGGTATGCTTTGGGCGGGCTGGTTGTTGCTGGGATTGTTGGGCTGCTCTGACGAGAGGGAGGACAGGGAGAAGCGGTTGGATGTTTATTGTGACGATCGCGGGCATGTAATGTTAATGTTAATGGACAAATCGTGGCCGGTTTTAGAAGTGTGGGACTTTATCATTCCTGTGCAGTTTCACTGCGCCGATTACATTGTGAGTTTTAACATAGGTAGGCTCCTCTATGTGTGATTTCTACGTGCTTACTGATATAATCGATATTAACCGTGTTTGCTAAGCGCGTTTTCTGAGGCACCTGCTACTAATTATTGTTGCTAGCCACGACCCGAGAGATGCACAGTGTCTCCATGCCTAACTAGACGACCCCGCTTGCTCCAGCGCAGAAGGTGTGCAGATGGTGCTGCATAGGGGGCTGAAGAGGGCGTGAATGGAGTGTTGTACCGGGTGCCCGGACGCCCCGGGTACGCGTGGTGTCCTTGGGCTACCCTGCGGCGGTGTTAGTCCCGTGCGCCGTGTCGGGGTAAGCCGTCGGGATATATCTGAGATAACACAAGATTTGTGCTGGTATACTACCTACCACTCAAGGCAACAGCCAAGTGGATGCCGGGTAGAATGCTGTAGTTAGGTGGCCCCCCATCAAGTTATTACCCATTGGGGACGAACACAACACCCGGCTGCTCAAATCACTCAAGGACATTACTTTCAGTCTGCACAGTTACATAATTATTTCATTCCACCTATTCGCGAACTAGTAAGGTTGGACGTCTTGCTCACTTTTACACCAGTCGTAGGGGTCGCCGTCAATCAACAAGAGCGCGGGATGCAACGTGGTGGTGTTAGCCGTCACCAAAGCCTCCTTGGTTACCCTGAGCTCCTCTCTCAATACGGTTATCTCTATCTTCAGCTCCCTGACAGTCTGCTTGAGCTTGTTAACCTCGTGGACCAGCTCGCACACTCGCTCCTTGGCCTTCTTGAGATAGGGCTGTAGCTCTCTGTGGAGCTCGATGGCCACGTCTCGCGTTGTCTTGTACGCATTGCTGAGGGTTTCGGTGTGGAGGCCTACATCGATCTTGGCCGTCTTCTTGTAGATGGGCGGTTTGTTGTCCGGATAGGGATGCTTGGCGGCGACGGCTTTGGTTGCCATTGTTGATGTGCCGAGCCAGTTGAACGTGGCGGGGCTGCGGCGTTGTTAACATCTCTGTTTCGTTTTTCGCTCCTCTCTATGAGCATTTCCTACCTCTTCGCAACTCCCCGGAGGTGGTGGAGAAACAAGGAGGATTCCGGCGGGCGAGGGGTGCTATCGTCGAGGCGTGGAGCTAATCTCAGACACGGGGGACAACACCGGGACTTTTCCCCAGAACTAGACTGCCTTGAAAATTGGTAGCCAGCGGAAGAGACGTATTAAATGCAGCGTTCTGACGCCACCCAAAAGTGCGGCGGTGGCACTAGCAAGCCCTATCCTGGTGTATCCCGGCTCTCGTCGCATCACACTATCACGCATAAGGGCGGGCGCTGAGCCCAATAGTTCGCGTCTACAACATGTGAGCCTCCAGTCTGCAGCCTGCCCGTCGGACGCATTTATCCCGTTCTTATCACACGCCTTGGGTCACCGTCCACGGCCGCCCGGCCGGCTCTGAGGATGGCCATTCAGCAATCTCAACTCCGACACGATGCAGGACGTGACGACGTCTGCATGCCCGACTGGTTGTCGCCCGACGGCTCTATTGACTGGACTCATGTCGGTGTTGAAGCTAAGAGCCCAAGCCGGAAACGTGTCAATCTCCCAAACCCGGTGGTTTTCGGCACTCTTGTACAGATTACAACCAATGTTCTCATTGGTGTCTTTAATTTCATGCATTCAGAGCCTCGGGAAGAAGGGAGCGTCGGTGCCCTGGTTGCATTGACCCTTGCTTCGGGATACCTTTTTGGAAGCGGGTTCGATCAGCGACCCCCATACTTTGGGCAGCTTTGCCTTCGTTCTTGGGACAAACAAATCAATCACAAACCAGGGTAGTCGTCAGGCCTCAAGGAGATGCAGCTGTCTTGCGAATCAAATGCATTCATGTGCCGGGAGACGGATGCAATGGCAAGTGAGAGAATCAGCTGAATCACCCCGCCAAAAATGGCGCAATTAAGACCCAACCAGAGACCTTTATCCAGTATGAGGCTCTCGGAATGCCGTCTTATTTGGCTCGATACTGGTGGTTCCTCTTGGCATTTTACCACGGTAACGGGCTCTCGAAAATACGGGAGTGAAGGAATACTGGCTCAATCTGGCTGTAAAAGTACCTACCTAGGTACCTTATCTATGTACCTAAGGTAGGTCCAGTATTAATTGTACTTACCACCTTTGCTGTTCTGCTTTGCGGCTCTGCGTCCCCCACAAGGTGAATACGAGTTGTGCCAGGCCAAAGTCTCAAACATAAGCTCCATCCTTCTCCTCGTAAGCGTCTGCCGGCCATTTAGGGCATGTGTTGAGTCGAGCATCCATACTCTGGGGCCAACCACAGGTTCACAACGGCCACAAAAGACACAAGTTATCTTTGCTGTATCGATAAAACCCGTGTTTCATCCGTTACGTGATCGAGGTAGGTTCACTGCTGCCGTGATTTGTATCCCGAGTCTGCTCGCATCTAACACGTATCCTTCAGCTGCAGTAAACGGATTTGAAAGCGGACTTCAAGATGGAGAGGAAACAACTCAGCGACGACTTGCTCTCAGCAGCCACCAACGGTTACGCTGAGGTTGTTGAACTCATCCTTGATGAGCCTGAGGCGGTTGATGTGGTGGATGAGCCCGACAAGGATGGAAACTCGCCTCTTATCCTGGCGGCAACCGGCGGCCACGTGGACGTCGTGGATCTGCTTCTTGAGAAGACAGCCGCCGTGAACCGCTTAGGTCACGAGAAAATTTCACCCATCCGAGCGGCTTTGGTTGGCGGACACTCCGAGGTAGCCGAACTGCTTCTCAGACAGCCCGATTTCAGCATCAAGGCCTGCGAATGGACGCCTTTAAACTCGGCCGCCTCGCAAGGTTTCTTGAGGGTGGTGAAGCTTCTTCTTACTGCCGGAGCCGATCTAGACCAGCTGGACGATGACAACTCCACTCCGCTGCATCTCGCCTCTGCCAACGGCCATGCAATGGTGGTCAAAAGGCTGCTCCAGAAGGCCAATCGCCGGGGCCGGACTAACCCGTCTCTGGAGCTGCGCTCTGGGAGTGGTTTGACGCCTCTGATTGCAGCTGCGACCGAGGGCCACTCACGGGTAGTGCAGCTTCTCCTTGACGAAGGCGCCAACGTTGACGCTGTTGGGAAAAACAACGAGACGGCGCTCAAGGGCGCCATCAAGAATGGCCATGCCGATGTCATCAAGTTGCTATATGATTATATGAAGGAGCGACGCCCGCGGGAATACCCACCCATTGACGACTTTGAAGGCAGTAAGCTTGGGTAGGTAGGTATGCAGCAGTATCAGACTGACCTAAGGTAGCATCCCTGAAGACTCTGGCTTGAACTCTGCCGAAGAAGCATCTGGCGTGAATAGGGAAATGCTAGCAAGCGGGCCGGAGGGAGGGGAAGATGAGAGTTAGGAAACCATTAATGAGTGATTGAGTACTTGGAAGACGAACGGGAAAAGAGGAATGAGAGTACCTGTAAAAAGGGAGAGATTCTTACCATTAGGGAACGACTTGGCTAATTTTGCATTTGTTTCCAAGTTTACATTGATCTAGACCTGCTTCTGCTAGCCATTCGCCTCTCGCCCTCCTTTAGTCGCTGGATCTCTTTTTCCAAGGCGTCCTCCAGCGCTGTTTTGGGCTTCAGCGAGGGCATTTGTGAGTCTTCGGCCAAGACACTGTTCCTCAGGTGCTCCTTGAGCCACCAGATCTCTCCGGCTAGGTCCCTGCATTTGTATTCCAGCTCCCAATTTCTCGACATGGCATTTAGCAGCCTCTCCACCATGTCCCGATGCCTTTTATGCAGTTCCTTGATCGCCTGGGTCAACTTTGGGACGAGATCTTCCTTATCTGCCTCGAGCGCTGTCCTCAGCGTATGGAGCGGTTTCCCCCAGTCCTCTAGCGTTATGCTGTTTTCCAGTCGCTCTTTCAATCTCACATTTTCATCTCGCAGGTCCATGCACTCGTAGAGTCGTTCCCAGCTTTCGGATGCAAGAATGACAAGGCGGTTTATGAGTTCTTGCACGAGCTTCAAAATGCGGCGGGCCCCGTTTTGGAGCGACATGCAGATTTCATCATTTTCATGATTGCAAGGTTCTGATTCGAAAGAAGAGTGAATCTCTGCGAAAGATCTATCAGATATAATTGTTATTCAAGCTCTGTATGTGCTCAATTCTGGCGTGTCCCGAGTCCGTGATGGAGTGAGGACTAATTACAACTTACTGTAGCAAAAGATCTTCTGTATCCATGATGCGTGAGGGGGAAACCGTGAGGATGTTTGCGGATAGGGTGGGAGCAATTGGCTCGCCGCCTGCATAATTAGTTGATTACCGTTCACAATGATAAGCGCGTTGAAAGAAAAATGCTGAGTGGTTGGGCAGGACCCGGGAGTTCCTATCAAACGAATCCTGCATGTGCCCACCAAAACGTTCCTGCCCAAGGGCATATGGTCAGGTGGCATTGCGGACCGGAGGTCGCTTGTGTTAACGCCCGCATGATGCATCCAGTCAGCAAATCTTGGGCCAGCACTTGAATTTTGGATGGTACTCCACAGCACAGCAAAGCAGGTCTCCCCCATTTTTTGCCCGCGTTTTTTTTTTTAAAAAAAAACATTTAACACCGTGACACAAAGGGGACGCTGACACGATATGGATACCGAAAATAGGACCTTTCTGGAAGAGCTGCCCCCCGAAAGCGCGGATCTGGATGCAAAGGCCCGGGGCTTGAACACGAACTATGATGCGGAGTATGTTTAGAAACACTGAGTAACTAGTGCAGATATTGATGCCGTCATTGACACAATAATTGTAGCATAGTCTTGGTCGCTGGTCTTGGGGGTAACCCCGTTGACACCTGGCGGGCGAAAGATGAACAGAAAACATTATGGCCGACTTCCCTCCTTCCATTCAACATTGGCGACATCCGTGTGCGCGTCTGGACCCTCAAGTACAATTGCACCCTACGGGGCTCAGCGAGCGCAGCTCGTATTCGGGATCATGCGAACGTGCTTCTGGTACACCTCAACGACCAAAGAGAAGACGACGACGAGGCAAAGTCGAGGCCCATTGTCTTCGTCGGACACAGCTTGGGGGGAATCATCATCAAGCAGGTAACCAGCTCCCTGGCCAGCCCATGTTCTCCGGGTTTATGGTATTGATAGCATCACCAGACCATCATGTTTGCTTATAAGAACCCAAGATACAAGTATTTGTGGGAAGCCACTCGTGGGATAGTACGTGTTCACCTCGGCGGCTTTGGTCAAAGTCTCGGCAATGAACAACAAGTTGATTGGCATCTAGATGTTCTTTTCGACACCTCACTATGGCATGTCTCCTGACCTGTGGGCCGACTTTGTCCGCTACGTGCTCCAGCTTGACGAGCCCTTCAAAGGTGCCTTACCTACCGATGGTATGCTTGCCACTATTAGAGACAACAAAGACGAGCTGTCAAACATCTCCGAAGACTTCGAGAGCCGGTTACAAGACATGAGCTTTATTACGTTTATCGAGACGATGCCGATTCCACAAATGAATTGCGTTGTATGTCCACATCAATAGCGAAAGGAATGTGCAGCGCAGTCTCATAACAACTTACACTCAGAGCCCAGTTCGTAGACAAGATTCACGGCCGAATGCGTGCTCCCACAGAGGATCACAGCTTCATAGAGGGCGACCACGCCAGCATATGCAGATTTGAGTTTCAACACGATGACCCCTTCTTGCCTGTAGCGGGAGGCATAAAGAAATTGATAAGGGCCAAACCCAAGGAGATAGGTAGGTACCTAGGGAACTCGTTTTGTTTATGGCGTATCCAGGCTGATTTTCTACCAGACCGGCTCAGCTACGAAGAGAAGAAGGCGTATTATTCGCTCGCAAAGGATGAAACCCACAGCTTCTTTCTCGGCCGTAAATCTACCCCGGGAACCTGTGGCTGGACGGACGCACAGCCGGACATTCAAGCCTTCTTAGATGGCGTCCGAGGTCACCAAGACCTGTGGATTTGCGGTCCGCCAGCTTGTGGCAAGACCTTTCTGGCGAAGCACATCATAAATAAGTTGAACCCCCTGGATAGAAAGCTGTCGGGCCAGGGGCAGGGGAGACCCCCAACTGTCATCCACTACTTTGTCAGTGACTCCCTGCCTGATCGGGGCCACCTCCAAGGACTTCTGCGCGCGACAGCGCATCAGGCCCTGCGGCTTAAACCATCGCTTATGCGCCGAATTCTCTCATCCAGTTTCCAGAATTGGAATTCTGAGAGACCAATGACAAGGGAAAGTCTGGAACGAGACCTCTGGACCGGAGATATGCTGAAGTTGGTCTGGCCCGCTATCATGGCCGAGGTGACCAAGAACCACGCCATCGTGGTCGTGATTGATGGCTTTGATGAGCTCGACGAGGATTCCCGCAATTCATTTCTGGGCTGTCTCCAGCATCTTCGTGGCCAAGCAGAGAACCCGGAGAACTTACGGCTACTTTTCCTCTCGCGCGAGCTCGACGGGCTTGACGTTGCGCCGGCCCACCGGGTGGCCTTTCAGCGGTATAACATTGGGCTCGTCGAAAGCGGGCGTGATATTAGCAGAACTGTCGACGAGGCCGTCGATCGTTTGTGGAAATCAAGGAGATTCGCCCCCAGCGAATTTCGCGAGAAAGTAGGCAACCAGATCCACCTCCGGTCGGATGGGACATACCTGTGGGCGGCACTGCTTTCTCAAGACCTAGACCGCAACCGGACCATTACCTCCCCATCTGACGTGAAAACCATAATACAAGAGCTGCCACCTGAAGCACATACCATCCAGGGCTTGTACGACTACATTCTCGACAGACTTGCCACCATACCACACGTCGCGGGTATCGTCCGACAAGCTCTCCTCTGGGCATCAGTCCAGAGAGAAGGGCTCAAACCAGCAGAGTTTAACATTGCACAAGCCATTGGGCGAGCGATGGAGGATCATAAAGGGACACAAATCACGCAGGAGATGCTGAGCCAATACCTGGATGAGAAGGTCGCCATAACCCTCGACTTCCACTGTGGCCACATTGTCAAGTTCCAAGATGGCCGCCTCGAGCTTGTTCACGGCAGTCTTAAAGACTACATCATGAAAAATGGCATCCGAATAAGGGGTCCTGGTCCTCATCAGTTGACACCTGGCGTCACAATGGCAGAGCGTTTGCACGCCGAACTCGCTCGCACGTGCGTCACGTATCTGACACTGCCACCATTCCGGGATTCAGGCCTACGTCCGCAGGCCTTGACACCGCACGCCTGGGAGGCCAAAGTCCGTACGAGGCTCAAGCAGCAAAAGCTTTCGCGGTACGCCTCACTCTATTGGGACCAGCATATTCGCGACGCTGGCATGTCATGGCGCTCTGAGAAGGCAGCCCAAGCTGCGCAACGGCAGCTCAACGACGACAGGACGGAATATGCAAAATGTTGGACCGAAATCTGGTGGCTATTTCGGTTGTGGCCGACGACACAGTTCCCCTCAACCTCAGCGTCTCCAGTCGCAGATATCCTCCCTCTGGATTATGAGGAAAGTATGGCTACTGCTACGGAATCCACAGCCCTCACGGTATTGGAGGGTTCTGACGGTGGTCGTAGAGACAGCGCAGCTGCCACTACGGAATTTGCAGGCCTCAAGGCAATGGAGGGTTTTGACGGTGAACGTTTGGATAGCATGGCTACCACTACGGAATCCTCAGTCCCAAAGGCATTGGAGGTTTCTCACGATGACGGTATGGATAGCGCGGTTACCGCTACGGAATTTGCAGGCCTCAAGACATTGGAGGGTTCCGACCGTCAACGCATGGATAGTGTGGCTGCCACTACGGAATTTACAGCCCTCAAGGCGTTGGAGGGTTCTGACGGTGAACGTATGGGCAGCGCGGCTACCGCTACAGAATCTTCAGTCCCAAAAGCATTGGAGGGTCTTGACGGTGACCGTATAGATAGCGCGGCTGCCGTTACGGAATCTACGGTCCCAAAGGAATTGGAGGAATCTGACGGTGACGGTATGGACAGGATGGCTACCGCTGCGGAATCTTCAGCCCCCCAAGCATTAGAAGGACATGACGGTGAACGTATTAGCATCGCAACGTCGGAGGATGGCTCGTTTATATCTGCAGAAGGCAGGGAGTCCGACGAGCAGGCATTGCCCCCGCCCGGACAGCCTCAGACTGCCAGCGGGAGGACGCGCCGGAGTAGAGTCCGCCGCCTTTTGGGAAGCGCGGGCCTCACGGCCGGGGTCCAGCCGGGACAGAACACTGAACCGAGTCACTTGGGCTTGCGTTCGCCGCCGGGTGAAGGTGGACCATCTCCCGAGGACCAGAAAAAGGAGACGCCGCCTGCTCCGCTTTCAAAGCGGAGGCTTGGGTGGATGAAGAGGGTGAAAATGGCGGGAGCGATAATAGGTACGCCCAAAGTTTCAACTCCATCAATATGTTGACACCCTGCCTGGACAGTCGGCGTGTACTAATCGGCATTTACAGTCGGAGGATTCTATGAACCTCCGGACGACGAAAACCGCACTCCGCGCGCATCACGGGGTAGAAAATAAGGGCTGTATGGCAGTCGGGGTTTCTTGTCAAGCACATGCGAGCTTCACATTTAATTTCCATGGTAACAGTTAACTTCCACTCATCTTGCTCTGTCATGAGGACTGGAGTCATGAACCTAAACAAATTACACAATCTTCCCCCTGCAGCCCCTCGATATTGTGGTCACTCACCCCTTGTACCGAATCCTGCCTCCCATCATCCGAGAGAAGTGGGACCAACGCGACTGCTTAACCGCCTTCTCCGATTCGCACTCCACGGGAACCACTCGAGGAACTGGGATATCCTTCTGCAGTAGCTTAACCGCATCCTCTAATTTCCACTCAATGGGAACCACACGAGGAACTGCCATGTCCAGACGCAATGGTTGTGGGGTGGGGGTAGGGAGAGCTAACGGGACTGTCGCCGGTTGGGCTTTGGTGCTGAGGTCGCGATTTTCAGGGTCCGGGAGAAGAGGTTGTTCGTGACTCGGCATAACGGAGGGCAACCCATTCATGTTGCTCCGAGTGTTTCCGGTAGGGTTGGCGGACCCCTGGTGCATGGGAGGAGTGTCGATATAGATCGGCCGGCCCAGGATGTTGCCGACCCGAATCTTAGGAGTTTGGTCCATTTGAATCGGCCGTTCTGAAACTCGGGGCTCAGGCACCTTCTTGATTACCTTTCGGATGAATGAACAGACAAGTTCGAAACCAGGATGGTCTTTATCATTGAACTGACACATGGAGAGGTGGTCGGCTTCAATGGGCATTTCCTCCTGTTGGAGACCAAACATGCGTGTGCTCATCATGGGGACAACCAGCTGGCCTGTGCTTTTCATTTTTTGTGTCTCATACACCGTCTTGATGGTGTAATTTGGCGCGACGTGGACGAAATCCTCGCTGATGTCGACCAGGCCCCGCGAGTTCTGCGTCATGGCCTCGACCAGGGTCGACGGCTCGCCCTTGGCTTTACTTGACACCTTCCCCAAGGCCTTCGCAATGGAAAGCCACTGGTTTCTGTCGGCGCCAAAATGTGGAGTGCCAAAGAAAATCTGTGGTGGAGAAAATGTTAGCGACGCGGCAAGACGGAAAAGGAAAAGTTTGGCTTGAAACCCTTACAAGAGTGTGTGGTCCGCCGAAGCGATCGTTTCATATCTCGTCCCTTGTTGTTGGCGGTAACACATGGCCTTGCTTGACAATGAGTTCCGCCCTAGACAATGGGCGAGGAAAAATGGATGGGACGTCTCTCGTCTAGATCTTCTACGCCGCAGGTTGGAGGTGGGTGAGGAGTGCTTTGGCGTTCCCCCTGATGCCGGCGACGGAGTCGTTTTCGTAGACTGTCCCCCCTGTATCCAAATGATAGGACCCTAGATGTTCGGTTGTGTCTCTGGTAATAAGTCCCGGGGCCAGCAGACTGCTACTTTGGGATCTTTTGGCATCGGTGTAAGTCCAGCTCCCGACGGGGTCGCCGTTCAGGCCGTGGACGAGGACCAAGACTATCACAGTTCCTTTAGCAACGCATCTGTTGGAAGGCAGAGAAGGCCCACTTACTCTGCTTGACTGGTCCCAGGGTCGTTGTAGGACCTTAAAATTCATGTGTTTTTTTTGGGAAAACAATATGGTGGTTGTCGAGATTGGATTTGCCTTTTGTCAGTCCGCAAAACCCGGCCCCGGGATTTGGGGGGGGGGGGGGGGGGGTGTTAAGGACTCGGAGAACTTTGATGGCTTTGGGCAAAGGGAATGTGTTGGAAAAGTACGACGCTCAACCGGACCGTACGGGATTCGAATATATACATGTCCCGGAAACGCGAAGACCAGAAGATACAAGACATAAGCAAGTACGGTTGCGTTCCGCCCTGAGCACGCCGCGGGCGGCAACTGGAGACTGTCCAGAACTAAGCCCAGCGACCACAACACATCAAATGAAAAGCCCAACCCGCGCACAGCCCACGGGCCCGTGGCAGACGGCTATTTGTCAGAACTAGAAATTGCAGGAGACATAAACTAGACCCCAACACTCACCGGAGGCCCAAAGGTCCCCATCTCTCCGTGTCCGGAAGCGACAGGCCACCGTCATCGTTTGAGCGCCAGATCATACCGAGTACATGCATGATGGACCAAGGGGCTCGGAGGCTCTTTGCGGCACGGCCATGAGGCTATCCATAGAGCGAGAGACGGGTGGCAGACAACCCGTTTGATTCGCAGTCAACCCCCCACCCAGCTCAGACCCAACCTGAGCCCGACTGTAATGCCGCGCCTAATACCTACTTGGTTGGGTACATGTACATCTACTTTTGGCAAGGCTTCGGCACTTGGGCGGTTGAGCTGGAAACTACATCAAACTTTACTCGCTCTGTACCTTACCTACCCCGCCTTCTTCAATGTTCAGTCCCTACTTGTAGTGTTCTGTAAAGCCAGCCGATTATTCCAAACTCACAACTCGCTTGTCGCTGGCCATCCCTTCCGGTCACGTACCAAACTTTACAATTACCATGGGCTGGAGAGAGAGCTGGTTTCCTTGGCGTCGGAGGCCGGCTCCTGCGGCGGGCGACGACCAAAACGGCCAGAAGAGCCGGGGAGATGTGAATCACGAGTTGCTACGCGGTAAATTCCAACCGCAGCACAATACAATACACACTGCCAAACGGTCCTCTCACATCGACGCGCCCTTAAAAGATGTGAATCACGAGGAGCCCCACGGCAAAAGCCAACATGGAGAGGCTATACTACACACTATCAAGCTCCCGTCGGACATTCAGGCAGTACCCTTAGAGTTCGTGTTCCACCACTTGATACATAAACCATGGTTGACTCCAGGCCACTAACCACTGACCCGCGAGAGCAGTATTGTGGCCATCCATGGACTGAATGGCCACTGGGAAAAGTCTTGGACGAACCCGCAGGACAAAACCTTCTTGTGGCTGAGGGACCTCATACCGACCAAGTTCCCGGGAGCCCGCATCATGAGCTTCGAGTACAACGCCCAAGCCATCGCAAGTATTTCTCCTGCCGGGGTACGAGACCACGCCGCCAATTTAGTTAAGCTTCTCGTGGACGAGAGGGAAGACCTGGTGAGTCCAGTCCGCACACGACTGAAGTCGTGCTTCGGGTTTGCTGCGCTGCGGAGGGGGTGGGACCAGATGTGCTGACGTCTCCTTTTTGTGTACACAGGAGGACAAAAACCGCCCTATTCTTTTCGTCGTACACAGCCTTGGAGGCATCATCGTCAAACAGGCAAGACCGCTTCCACTTCCCCCCTCAGAACCCCTGAAACTGAAGAGTTTGTTGCTAACACCCAAGCTGTTGCCTCCCGCCACAGGCGCTCAGGAAAGCCACTGACGAAGGAAAGAAGAAAGGTCCAAGCCAAGCAGACGCCTTGGACATTTCCAACTCGACCAAAGGAATAGTCAGTTCCTCTCCCCATAATTAAGCAACCATTGATCGTGCCCGAAACTTGGCCCTAACGTAATATGAACACACAGGTCTTCTTCGGCACCCCGCACCGCGGCTCCGAAGCCGCAAAATGGGCCAGTATCGTCGCCGATGTTGCCTCAGCTGTCCTTAACCGACCCAAATCCCAGCTGCTCGAAGCGTTGGAAACAAACTCGGACGACCTGACGGAAATCTCGGAAGATTTCAGCCCGCTCGCGTCGCGCTACGCTATCGCGAGCTTCTATGAGTCGAATGTGCATCGCGGTTTGGGAACAGTTGTGAGTGCCCCCCTTTCAACTTGTTTGGATATGTGGGTATGTGTTGGAAAAGCGTTTTGTTGACCACAGGGCTCTATTATGTTGGGGGTTTAATAGGTCGTTGGTAAGGCCTCTGCGATTATGGCTTTGCCACACGAGGAGACTTTCATGCTCGGCGGCGACCACTCGTCCATGTGTAAGCTGGGGAGGGACGACCGAAGGTGGAATACGGTATGGAGAGCGATGCGGCGGTGCGCTAAAGGGGTCGATGGGTGAGGTGGATTCGGGCGTGTACATGTATGGGTGGTGGTGGGAGTGGGTGGCTGGGCCCAAAGGGAGGCAGAAGAAGGAGAGGGATGTCACTCGCTTGAATAAGATCTCATATGTTCGACACAATGACATTTCATCACGGGAGGCTATACCCTATACTACCCTCACGCTGTTCTCCCAGAGCGCTTACAGACCATATCTTGTCTTGAGATGCCTCCACCAATCCTTCATCATCAAGATGTCAAACTCGGTAATCACAGTCGAAGACCCGGCATTCATGATGAAGTTGGTAATCCCTGTGGGAGTCCAATCGTAGAAGTCTGCAGTCGGATGATCAGTCATTGGACCCTTTGTAGTGGAATCTTGGGAGGGGCTCAGGAGAGGTGTGACCCTAGTCTTGGGGAGGAGACGAGGATTAAACTAACCGTCAAGAGCAAATGTATGGCCAATCTCGTGAAGGAGAATATGAATAGAATCCGCGTTGAGATTGTCCATGAAATAAGAACGGCCGATTCTCTGACCCCAATCTCCGCCTGCGCCCCCCTCGAAGCCTTCTGTGAGCCAAAGCGATTGGTCTATTGTTTATTTTTAGGCCGACTATTAGCGTGTGCACGTGTGTATCTTGAAAGAGAGATTGACTCTTGGTAATCACTCACCATAATGTCTAGCAGCACCGCCGGCGCAAGATTCATAGTTCCCATCTTGATGGAAGAAGCGTCCACAACGGGGATCACATTCCGGGGCCCCAGCTGAGTCCTTTGTGGTATATACATCAATCCCACTCGTTGCACCTTGCAGCAAGCTCGTGCTGTTGACTGCCCACCCTACCACTTTGACCGGTATGGACGAGTACGGGAACCCATCAAAGCCTGCGAGGCTGTCTGTCCATTTGTTGACGGACTGCTGCAAAGCCTTCTCAACGGCCGCACGTTGGGCAGCAGTGACGGGCTGTGAGCTTTCCCAGCGGACGCAGAAATTGAGATGGCCTTTGTTGGCCATGATCTGGTCGTAACCATAGTTCTTGAAGCCGAGTGGGTCGTTGTATGTCGACATTTGGTGGTCCCATACCTGCTGGAGAGGCGTCACAAGGTTCGAGGGGGGGTTCCATGTGCTTTGGCGCCTGGATAGGGGAATCGCCGCTTCAAGATCGCTAGCGTCGGGGTGCTCATCAAAACGGCACACCTTGGTCGCGATAGGAACGGGGACTGGACTGGCAGATACGTGAAGTACCGCTGTCACCGCAGCGACGGTGAATACCGAGCTCTTCATGGTGGCGAGTACGGCGAAGGGTTGACTGGTTGACTTTGAAAACGGTGGCAAGTTCCAAGTCTTTGATATTTAGTTAGTCGTTCTGATATCCAGAAAACATTATCAAATGCTAAACAGGCACAGCCAAGAACGCACAGGGAAGTCAGATGTCCATGACGGAAACCTAGTACATTTCAGGGTTTCTTTTTACAAGAACTCACAACATAGTGGAGAGTACACACCCCCCGGCCGGTCTGCCCTGGATTGATTCGTGGACATGGACGATGGTTGTTTCGAAGAAGAAATTTGACCGGTTTCAGCACCCTACACTGTAGAATACGGGCATCAATCGCTCCACACCGGGGTGGAGAGTGTATGGCTTGGCCGGAGCACCTACTTCCGGGGAGATCAAGTCCACCACTAGGAAAAGATCTTGACCTAAGATTCGGGGAACCAACCTAATTCGGAGGATAACAGTTCCGCCACCGAGTCTAGGGAATGTGAAGGACCACCGACGGAATCGATTGTCATTCCGACACTTCGGTGTATAAAACCGCGAAATAGGGGTCAACCAGATATACGGCGTTATCCCAATTCCCAAATGTTCAAGTTGCCCACAATAATCAACGGTGGCTCGAGGTTAGTGTTCTGCGTTAGAAGTATCGCTTCGCTGTAGCACTCTTAATAACATGCGAGTTTCTCAAATTCTGGGCCTTGCTCTCAGCCTCCTGGGCGGCGCCACGGCTAAGGACATTTATGTTTCTCCAACAGGCAATGGCTCAGGAACGCTCGAAAGCCCCTATGGATCTATCCAGACGGCCGTCAACGCCGCTGCTGCTGGCGACACTATTTTCCTTCGAGGAGGCACATATGCGCCGTCTGCCAATATCCAGGTCGGGAAGAGTGGAACCAGAACGAAGCCCATCGCCGTGCGGCCCTACCAGAATGAGAAGGTGATCATCGACGGGGATAACATGCCTGGGTAAGTGAGCGTGCGCCATAAACAGAGATAGATCATCACATTTTGACACAGAACCTAGAACCCCAAAGGAGCTTAACGAAGCACTGCCAAATGCCGAACGAGGAATCTTCCATATCCAAAAGGCCGAGTACTGGGCTTTCTACAACCTCGAGTATGTCAAAACTGGGTCCTTGGCAGTTTCAACGGCTCACACAATGATTCAGGTTGATCAACGGGCCCTACGGAATTTACGCCCGTGATGCCTCCCACAACTACTACGAGGGGCTTTCGACGCACGACAACTACGAAACAGGCTTCCAACTCGAAGGCGCCTCCGCGAACAACACGGTCCTGAACCTCGACTCGTACCGAAACCGGGACCCCCGCAAGAACGGCGAGAGCGCCGATGGCTTCGCCTGCAAGAGCGGTTCGGGCGAGGGCAACGTGCTCCGCAACGCCCGGCTCTGGGACAACGTGGACGACGGCCTCGATTTGTTCATGTTCGGTTCCCCCGTGGTCATGGAAGAAGTCTACGCCTGGGGAAACGGCTACAACCGGTGGGGGTTCACCCCGTTCGAGGGAGACGGCAACGGTTTCAAGCTGGGCATCACCGACAACCCGCCGGCCAACCACGTGGTCCGCAACTGCATGGCCTTCGCCAACATGAAGAAGGGCTTCATCGACAACGGCAACCCGGGCTCGCTGACGATGGAGCGCAACACGGCGTGGAACAACGGCGACCTGGGCTTCCACATGCGCAGCTCGTCGTCCACCCTGCGGAGCAACATTGCCGTAGCCAATGTCGGTAGCGCGCAGGTCAGCCTCATCAGCTCCGTCTCCGCGTCGGGCAACTCCTGGCAGTCTGGGTCCTGGTCCAACAGCTCGTTCGCGAGCCGAGATCCCGCCACGCTTAAGGGTGCGCGTGGTTCGAATGGCAAGGTTAAGCCGAGTGACTTTCTGCTGCCGACGTCTGGAGTTGCTATCGGAGCGTCTACGCAGCAGGAGGTCTGAGGGGGTTGAGGGAGGGGGGTTCAAAGTGATAAGGCCGGCTGATGATGAGGAGCTGAAGACCGGATGGAGCGCTGGGCTGTTGTGCGGTGTTCAGGCATCTAATACCTAGAATACGAGCGGAGCTCTGAGTCTGTACCTGCAAAGTATGTGGCTTCGACGACCCAATGCATGTCATTGTGTCCACTGGGACACCAGAGCCGGGCCCCCAAGCATTATGCCTGGAGGAACTCCAGGTTCCTTAGGTCGGAAATGCCATGGCTTGCTGTAAGCAAGACCAATGCCTGGAGGAACGTGCGAGGAACGAGTACTTCCGGAAGGTTCCTTTTCCGACCAAAACCATGGTATGCTCCAAGCACGGACCACTTCCGCCCCATAAAACGCACCATAAAAAAAAGCCGTTCCATTTCTCCCTGCAAACTGTGAAGATTTACTGTCATTATCCTAACGATTGTGGAAGCAGTCATGTTGCTTTGTCTGGAGGAACTTGCCTCTGACGATGAGCGCCTCGAATGGATGGATGGATGGAATTTATTTCGCCCGGAGGCACTGGGCCTATAGGGCCTTAGCACGCTAACTACATCCGGATCAAATCGGTTTGCCTTTAACTCGTACAAGCCCCCTACTTCTTCCCTCTTTCTCGCTGCACCATTTACCTCTTGCCTTGGTTGTTGTTAGCAGATCAACTTGGAGGCTACTTTCTCCAAGTGTTCAGCGTCCTATCTTCAGCAGCTAAAGCGGGACCTGCTGGTTAAGGCTCGTGGTTGAGGCTCGTGGTGTTGAGTGTCGGCTTCTTCTACTGTGACTGGTCTAGACTCTCCTCCTCATTCAGCTCCAGCCTTCCTGTTGCCATTGCGTATTTGATCGTCGCCCTGACTGCCTTCATATCTGGTGACCAATGCCTTGTATCTGATGGCGCTTTCCCTCCCAGATAGAACGAGAGGCTTCCTCGTCTTGCCACTGTGCATTGCAGCATGTCTTCCCTCAGAGCTGTCCATCTCACGCATCGGAAAAGAAAGTGTTCCACTGATTCCCTCGCTTGTCCACAGGCACAAAGGTCTGACTCGACCGCCCCAATCCTGCTCAAAAAACCGTTCAGTCTCGCCATTCCGGTTCGGAGCTGCGCCAATACGCAGGCCTCCTTTCGCTTCAGCTTGTCATAGAGATGGCGCGTGTGCTTGCCTGGTAGTGCTGCGTCCATGGCCTTTGAGAACTTGCCCACGCTTACAGGTAGAACTCTTGTCGCCCGTTGTCTTTCCATTGCCAGCCTCATCGCGGTAGACTTGGCCTGGGGTATTTGGGAGTCGGGTGTGCGTCCTTGCTTCGACGCTCTCTGGGCTGCTGCCTTGGCATCTGACCCCAGCGCGAAGTCAATCTCCGCTGGTATCCACAGAAAGTTGACCGAGTTCCCTCTTTGTCGGTGCAGCCTGGCCAAGTCGTAGATTTGCCGTATGATGCTTTGGCCGGATTGCTGCCGCGGCTGTCCAACTGCTGCCAGCGCTGACTGGTTCCTAGTGATCACGGTGATGTGCCTGTGGCAGATGCTAGCCGGTAACTTCTCCAGGGCCATTGCGATGGCTGCTAGCTCTGCTGTATATGGGTTCTGCTCTTCCCTTGTCCCAAGAACAACAGCATAGTTTGTCACAGTCTCGCTAGTTCTGTTGAAGAGAGTATCCCGTGCAAGGCCGCCCATGCCAACAATGCCCTTCTTTACGGATGAGCTGGTTGCGATCACGATTCCCGAAATTTTGTTGACCATCTCGGCCGCCTTCCCTCGATCGGCTTCGAGCGTCGGTCGTAGGCGAGGTACCCAGGGCGGGACGGCGTATTCCTGGATTGTCTCCATCCGGTCAACTCGTACTCCTTCGGCCACACGGGCAATTTTCTGCAGCGGAGATACGAATCGTACGGTGTTCCGGACTTTCTTCATGGCAAGGGGATGCGTTCCGGGCAGCGTGTGGATGTTGATCCACAGACTGGCTGCCGCCTGGGCGTGTCGTTCTCGTACGGGGTAGATGCTCGCTTCAGCTTCCACCACGGCTGTTGCCGCGGTTCGAAAGGCTCCCGTGATGGCCAGGGCCCCGATTTTCTGCGCCCTGTTCAGCCAGCTCAGTGCCTTTTCCCCGCACGCATGCATCCAGACATTGGCAGCGTAGTCCATGACCGGGGCTACTGTCGCAACAAATAGCTGTCTCGCTGTCCGCGGGGAAAGCATCTTCAGCCTCTTCAGGGCCAGAGCGGCTGCGAGGCCCTTAGCTGCCGTCCTAGCAATGTGCTGCTTGTAGCGGAGTTCGCGATCCATCACGACACCTAGGATTTTCGCACTTTCCTTCGGTTTGACCACTTCGCCTTTGACCGAGAACGGTTGTTCTGAAAATCGCTCCATGTTCCTCGTGAAGTGTATGATGGCTGTCTTTTCGCCTTCAAACTGCGCACCGCTCCGTTTCTCCCAGTCAAGGGCTTTGTCGATGATAGCTTGGATTCCAGTGCGGTTCGACTCCGCTGACGGGCCCGTTACCCAGGCAGTGTAGTCGTCCACGAAGGCAATTGCGCCTCCGTTCGCGTCGATCTTGTGCTGCACTAGGTCGGCGTTGAAGAAGAGGAACAACACTGGAGACAGCGGCGATCCTTGCGGAAGACCCGCTTGGGGCAGCTCTTGCCGTCCAGATGTGAACCCGTTTACGGCAATGGTCGCTGTGCGCTTGGAGCAGAAGGCGTCGATCCACTTGACCAGGGGTTCAGGTATCCCCTCTTGCCTTGAGCCTCTGGAGAAGCCTGTCTTTGAAGACCCCATTGTAT